GGGTTGGACTAGATGTCCTTTGAGGGTCCCAACTCTACAGTCCTATGATTCTATGAGTCAGACTTGCAGGTCCATCCAGCTCAGTATTGTCAACCGCTGACTGGCAACAACTCTCCAGGGTTTCAGACAGGGGATGTGCCCATCCCATCCCAGAGATGCCAGGATTCGAACTTGCATCCAGATCAGATAACGGAGTGCGGAGTGCCAGCTCTTCCCCGCCCTTCAGCGCTTTGGTTTCCTCAGAGGTTGGCAGCCCTGTTTTGCACACTTCCTCACGGCAAACTCCAGCAACCGGTCTGGCTCCAGAGCTCCTGGAAGATACACTTCCTTGGGATTTCACCTCCGAGGTCGAGGCCAGGGAGAGCGAGGGCTCACTCTCGTAAACAGCGGGCAGCAAAACAGAGACTGGCCTGTGCTCCACTTCAGACGGCCTCCAAACAGCCAATCTAGAAAACTAAAACATCAGGAAGATGGCTTGGCAAAAGTCCTTCTTCCCAGCAGGCTTATTCCAGGGGGTTATCGGCCAGTCCATGGGCAGAGGCATTCGACGAGGCTGCCCCTCTCTATTAACCAGCAATCAGCTGAAGTGGTACAGTCCAGACACACATTCTTCGCTTAGGCAGGAAAAACCAGATGCACAAATATAAGATGAGGGACACCTGGCTTGCTAGCAGTACATGGGATCTAGGGGGCTTAGGAGACCACAAGCTGAACATGAGTCAACAGTGTGATGCAGCAGCAAAAAAAGAGAATGCTATTCTAGGCCTCATCAACAGAAGTCCAGAAAGTCCAGATCAAGGGAAGTAATACTACCACTGTATTCTGCCTTGGTCAGACCGTACCTGGAATACTGTGTCCAGTTCTGGGTGCCACAATTTAGGAAGGAGGTTGACAAGCTGGAAGGTGTGCAGAGGAGGGCAACCAAGATGATCAAGGGTCTGGAAGCCAAGACTTATGAGGAATACTTGAGGGGCTGCGTATGTTTAACGTGGAAAGAGAGCCAGTGTGGTGTAGTGGTTAAGAGCGGTAGTCTCGTAATCTGGGGAACCGGGTTCGTGTCTCTGCTCCTCCACATGCAGCTGCTGGGTGACCTTGGGCCAGTCACACTTCTCTGAAGTCTCTCAGCCCCACTCACCTTACAGAGTGTTTGTTGTGGGGGAGGAAGGGAAAGGAGAATGTTAGCCACTTTGAGACTCCTTCGGGTCGTGATAAAGCGGGATATCAAAGTCAAAACTCTTCTTCTCTTCTGGAAAATAGGAGACTGAGAGGAGGGAGTTCTGAGAGCCATCTTCAAATATCTCACGGGCTGTCACATGGAGCAAGCTTGTTTTCTCCAGCTCCGTAGGGTAGGTCTCAAAACAATGTCTTCAAGTTACAAGAAAGGAGATTCTGACTAAACAGGAATTTTCTTAGGGTAACAGCTATTTCAGTGGAATGGTCTCCCTTTGGAGGTGGTGGGCTCTCCTTCCTTGGAGGTTTTTAAGTAGAGGTTGGATGACCATCTGTCATGGATGGTTTAGCTGAGATTCCTATATTGCTGGGGGATGGACTAGATGACCCCTGGGGTCCCTTCCAACTCTACGATTCCCTGTTTACCACCTCACATGCTTTTTTGGGTAAACCAAACCACGGATTTTGTTTGGAAAATCCGAGGTTACTTCCAGGATGCTCACTTACCGAGCATTCACCCTGATCCGTTTGCAGAGAGGTTACATGACGTTGTGTCAAACCAAGTGCCATCCCACACTTTCCCGTCAAATTTCTCATGGCAGAAAAGTCCAGGTTTGGAGATGAGCTCGTTTGCGGCAGAAGAACGCCTTTCGTTTGCTGTGAAAGAACACTTTTAATTCCACAGCTTGAAGGCATGTGGCTGAAAATCACCCCCAAATAACATCAGCCTGGAAGTGCCTGAGACCCCTCTATCACTACCCAGGTTTTAAAAATACATAGCAAGGCGCAAAAGAGGGATTTTCCAAGTTCCCCAGAAGACGGTGGCTAATCCAACTTAACGCATTACAAAGATCAAAAAAGGTTCTCAACCAGCCCCACTTATTTTAATGGTCCAATGTTCTCCAGACTGCACTCCCCTTCAACCAGACTTTGAAATCAATTAAATATAATTACAAAAATGGTAGCGCGTTGGAAGCCACTAAGCATCCAAAGGCCAAAATTATTATGTCCCTGACATTTGATTTTGGGAGGTCAGAATTTTTCAAGTGCTGCCTGAGGCTTACATTTTGGTATTGCTTTTAGATGCAACAATTTCGGATTAAGGACAGCGTAAAAACCGGTGTGTGTGTGTCGGGGGGCAGCAGGAGAGCTGCAACGAAATATCCCCCCCCCCCCCCGTTTTGTTGGCATGAATCATGAAAGTTCAAAACACGCTCTAAATAAAATGAGGGTTTTGCACTTTCGGAAATCCAAATGCTGCCGCAGCTGTTTCCATAGTTGCACAAGCAAGGCTGTTTCCAGGAGAATATGGCGTGCTCAGAGCTTCTGTCGAGTGGGAGAGCATGAGCCCATTTCTGGAATAAACGCATTTAAGACCAGGCTGTCGCGAAACGGTCTAGGTTTCACTCCCTTCCTCCTCTCCTTCCTGCTTCTTAAATGTTCTTCTTATAGTGGCGTGCAGGACACAAGCACCAGAACACTCTTCCACTTCCAGCAACTGGTGATTTGTGCACCTCCCACCCACCAGGGTTTCAATCCGTTTTGGGAATATTCTCCATAATCACACATTGCTGGGGGGTGGGGGGAAGGAGCCCCAAATGCCGAAAGAACAGCCCTCTTGAAACACAGAGGCGGCATCGAGATTTGTTTGCAAGGAAAGCAAAGAGCAGCATCTTCAAAAAACTACACAAACCCTTCTTGCAATTCCACCTTTGCTCAAGTCCTGCCTCAGTGCGCCAGCGCCACCCTTGGGCAGAAACCGGGAACTGCAATCCCTCATTACCTGCTAGGGCCCATTGAAGCTGTTCCATCTGCCACATTGGTGAGAAACTGATCCCTCTTGGGGTGGCAGCACCCACACTTTGGAACTCCCTATCGCCATTAGGCAAGGATCTGCTGAAAACTCTCCAGGCACATAATTCAGACTTGTTTTGAAACCGTTAATTTGATCTGCCTTTTATTTAATGTAATATATTCATTGATTTGGTGCAGTTATATATCCTTCCTACCCCACCCCTGAGGAGCTCAAGGTGGTGTAGATGATTTTCCTTCTCCTCATCTTATCCCCACAAAAGGGGGTGAGGAGAGCCCATCTGCACCACCCTGAGCTCCTCGGAGGAAGTACGGAATGCAGACAGCCAAGCAAAATACACCTGGCCACGGCCACCTGCCTAAAAACAGGCAGAGGTGAACCATGCTGTAAATTATTGTAGTGGGAAGTGTATGTGGGGCACCTGTTAAGTTGGTTTTGACATTTCCCCTCCTCCTCCTCCTGACATTTTGACATCTCGGTTGAGAAAGAGACTTAAGTAACATTATTGAGTTAGGGTAACGGTGAACCGAGAACTTCTTTACAGTGGTACCTCGCAAGACGAATGCCTCGGAAGATGAAAAACTCGCAAGACGAAAGAGTTTTTCGTTTTTTGAGTTGCTTCGCAAGACGAATTTCCCTATGGGCTTGCTTCGCAAGACGAAAACGTCTTGCAAGTTTGTTTCCTTTTTCTTAAAACCGCTTGAAGAGGTGCAGTTGCGACTTGACCGTGCTTCGCAAGACGAAAAATTCGCAAGACGAAAAAACTCGCAGAACGAATTAATTTCGTCTTGCGAGGCACCACTGTATTCAAATTCCACAAGCACATTGCCCCAGTCCTCATCATCTGAGGCCGTTCTTTGTGTGCCTCCTCTATGAGAGGTCTGGAGGGCAGCAACACAACAGGGCCTTTTCTGCAGTGGCTCCCTGTTTGTGGGATGCTCTCCCCAGATACACTTGCCTGGTGCCTTCATTATACATCTTTATGCACCAGGCAAAAACGTTTCTCTTCAACCAGGCCTTGGGCTGATTAATATTCCACGGCCTTTTAAATGTGTTTGCGAGTGGGCTGGGGTCGTTGTTTTGTTCTGAGCTATTTATTTTGTGCTTTTATCCTGCACTTTCATCTTGTGAACCACCTCGAGATCTTTGGATGAAGGACGGTATATAAATTTAACAAATAATAAAAATAGCCAGTGCGACAACCAAGGGCTGCCAAGCACTTTGCTGAGCTAGAGAACCAGCCAACAGACGACTCTCTTCTGAAGTCAGCTCCGGAAGTCAGCCCCCATACGTACGAAACGTCCACTGCCAAACTGCCCTGCCCTGTACCCAGGGCAGTTGCAAGAGCCCTTCCCTGTTCCTTCCTCCCCTGGAGGCAGCTCCCTCCCCCCCGAAGTGAATGGGGACATTTGCCTGTGCAGGAATCCCGTCCTGTAAGATTATTGTGCCTGCTATAACTCAGGCCTGGACCACCACTGCAGCAGTGGCAGAGCGGTGTCCTACCACTCTGGAAGCAGAAATGGGGTTTTTGAATGTTCCTGCCTCTTATAACGACTCCCTTGCAAGGACTGCAACCCATTCCACCTAGAGGGACTGCGATCCCACAACCGCAGCCGAGTAGCACAGCTCCAATTGTGGCGGGCAGGGGCTAGACCAGGGGTCGGCAACCTAAGGCCCATGGGGGTCATTTTACTGGCCCACGAGCTGCCCCCAAACTGAGCTGCCCATGCTGCGCTAAACCGGCGCAGTGCGGCAGGGAGACTTGTTTCCGCAGCGCCGGAAATCGCGTCTGCGCAGACACAGATGTCGGAAAACACAGGCGTGCGCACTCATGCATCTGGCCCATGGAGGGAGCTCCGTGGCAGTGAAGTGACCCAGGCATGCTTTGCCGACCCCTGGGCTACACATTGCTAACCAAGCTGAGCTCCCTGCCCCCTGCGCTAACCCCCATCCTCACAGACGCTGCCTGCAAAACCGGAGGCTCTTCCACACTTCGACAGAAAGGAGCAAACGTCGTCCCGGGTTCAGTTTGGATTTTTAATGCTCACACACTTGTCACAATAATTTACAGAATTCACTGTCAACATCCGGTGTGGATTCATTTAGCCATGAGGGGTGGCTGGTGGGAAATGCCCATGTCTGAACTTTCTGGTGCAGGATAACCGATACCCAAGTGGCTGGCAGGACAGACCGGCCTGGATCCAAGCCTTCCTTTTTCTCAAGCCCTGCTCCCGTGGAGAGGCTGCTCTCCGTCACCTGACAGAGGAGGGACCACGCAGCGGATGTGAGCTCAAGCACACCCTGCAACTGAGGAGCAGAGCTGAGAGCAGGCTTGCAGGCATAGAGGTATTCGTCCTGCGCCAAACTTTCCTGCACGCGCCCCTTTCCATTGAGGAGAAATTTAGTGAGTTTCCTGGGGCACTCGGCGTCACAGCCTTTGCCTACCTGGGGCCAAACAGATGTTTTGGATCAGCTGGAGGGACCCAGAAAGGCAAAGGCTGCTGTGTTATCAAGGGAGAGACCTTCCTAAGAAAGACCTGAGAAAGAACAAAGGCAGATGAGACAGAATGAGGAACAGTGGGAGGCAGCTGACGAATTATTTTCTTAAAAAAACAGGAGGAGGTGGGGAGGACACCCCTGGATCCAAAACTGAGATGAGTGACAGATTGCAGCCGTGCTGATCTTCAGGAAGTACGAAGTCACACACTCCAAGCCAAACCGTTCCCCTACCTAAGAGGCTTCAAATCCTGGTCAAAATGTGGGTCTCCTCTTTTTTACAAGCCCTTCCTTTTATTTAGCACGCCGGAAAGAGGGGGGGAAACCCAAGGGCCACCCATCCCAGGCTTTGCACTCGGAGACCCCTCACTTAAGAGTGGCTCGTTTTCAGGATATGGGCGGAAAGACACTTTGGAGGGACCTCTCTGCTCTTTGCGGTGCTATGAGAGCGCCTGGAGGGACGGGAGAGTAGATGGCAAGATTGTGCTACAGATGGGACGCTAGATTATTTGAGGAGGGAAGGTCTGGATTCCTCCTAATGCCCACAGCTTTTACCCATCTGCAAGACAGAAATACCCTACAGACTTGGTTGGCAACACAGAAGAGAGCCCCCCGGTTTGGGGGTCCACTTTATTTAATACACCAACGGATCCTGTAGCTGCTACCACCCCTGGAGCTGGAATGAAGGGAGGAAGCCATGCCCCCCCCCTTTGAACCTTACCTCTCCTTTCTGCCCCATAAGTGATCCAGGGGGGAGTGTGTGGCAGGCACAACAGGTAGCTGCTGCTCCTTTGAAAAAGTCTGTGTTTGGTTTTAATTATTATTATTCTTATTATTTTTAAAGTCCATGGATCAGCACAAAGAAAACAAAACAGTGGGAAACGCAACTAAAGAGTCCAACGCAAGAGCTTCGAACCCAGCACTACGCGGTGGCCGTGAGGCTGCCCTTCCCGCCCGGAGAGTTGCCCCGTAGGAGGCTGTAGGGCCTGGGCAGGCAGCCATCGGGCAGGTTCCCTTATATTAACCTCTGGACGATGACGGCATTCAGTAGGTTGGCTTCCTTCAGGGTCTGGTCCTCATCTGTCAGCTCTTTGTTGGGGAAAGTGGTCATGAGGACAAAGCTCGTGGCGGCCATGGCAGGCCTGGCGTCCGCTATGAAGAGTCGGACATCGCGGATCCTGCAAAAAAACCGAGATGCGTTTGTCATGGTATTGCCAGAGAATGCAGGGGAGGAGCAGGAACAGGCAGAGGGAGGGGGGCAGGAAGTGACGATTGAGGAAAGAGGAGAAAGCCAGGAGGCGGGACGGCTCTCAGATGTTGAACCAGAGCCTCAGCACTGCTCAGGAAGTTCTGGCACAGACAGTGAGGCAATGCCTGTCTGCCAGGGAAAGGAGAGGGTTAAAGGGGGGGAGGAGAGGCATCATGTGAAACTTCCCCGCCTTTTCTGTTGGAGAAGGAGCATAAGCCACTCCCAGAATCTGAGCCGGAGGATTCAGATGCATGATGTGCTGCCTGTACATATGTAAAATAAAGACTGTATATATGTATCTCTGAGTGAGCAGAGGCATTTCTTGCGAAGGGCATTCACAAGCCATCACAGCGCTGGACCTCTTCCGGCTTCCCACCCACCCACCAATGCCAGCCAGGTTCCCATATTTGTAACGCCCTTTGGCAGCAAGCTCTGCCCCGGTACCTGTGACTGTGGTTGAATTTCTGGACCAGCCGCCCTCCATCCGCCAGCCGGATCTGGATGCTGGTAGTGGGCTCTGACTCGTCAATGGTGATGGAGGAGCTGGCTTTGGCTTCGTTTTCCGCTTGCTGCGATGGGGAGCCTGCGCCCATCACCTGGGGGGCAGTGCTGAGGAAGGAGGAGGGAGGAAAGGTTTGCACTGTGGAGCAGGTGGCAGGTTTGGGCAAGACTGATGCAGACCCCCCTCCGACAATAAACCTGGCGACTGTACACAGTTACTCGATGGACATAAAGGAGCAGCTTCAGAAGACTTATCAGCCTTTGAAATTTGGGTTTGGAGACCCAAGCAAAACGAGACTGGTCAAAACCATTTATGAACCAGGTGAAACTACAGCCATACCTCATGTTATGTCCGCTTCATGTTATGTTCTTTCAGGTTACGTCCTGCGGTGACCCGGAAGTACCGGAAAGGGTTACTTCTGGGTTTCGCCACTGACATAGAAGCGCAAAATGATGTCACGTGCATGCGCAGAAGCGGCAAATCACAACCCGTGTGTGCACAGATATGCCACTGTGGGTTGAGTTCGTTTCATGTTGCGAACGGGCCTCCAGAACGGATCCCGTTCGCAACCAGAGGTACTACTGTACTCTAAGAGAGCCACCGGACTGGACCAAAAATCTGGCCCAGCACTTCCTTTCCTTCGTGCAAGAATCTTTGTAATGAAACAGAGGATATAGGATGAATTTAAAAAGAAACTGTGTCTATCAAACCTACCCACAGGATGCTGACACAAACACCTTGCACATACACTATGGAAAAGAATGAAAGTTTACTACTCCCCTCAGCCCCCCCATCTCCCCACCTCTTTCCCCTTAAACCTTATACCATATACAACATTAACGTCTCACATCAAATATAACTGATCTGTATAAAGGACTTGGAAAAATGATCTGAAAATAGAGACGATGTATGTACTTTTGCTACCCAAGAAAATCTTTTAATAAAAACAGTTAAAAAAGGGGGGGGAATTGTGTCCTTCAACATCCGCAGCCATACTATTTTATCCACAGTTTAAGAAAATGTGATCATCGGATGAATGGCGATATAGAAATTTAATTAAAAACCAAACCAAACAACAAGAAGGGCTGTGGGGGAAGAACAAGCCAAGAAGACAACTGGGCTGTTTGAAGGCAGAATTGTTGGGGTTTGCACAGAGAAGATGAAGGTTCAAATAACTGGCCTGTCTGGACGGCTTGCAAACTCTCCGCCTAATTCTACTCTGGAGAATAAATCCTGCACTCCAAGGGCAAGTTGCAGCCGCAACACCTCCCACCCCAGGAAGCTAAGCTACAACTATGTTAACAATGTCCGCAAACATTCTAACCACTGAAAAGTGCAGTTAGCCACTGAAAGCTGGAAACAATTGCAGTTTGCTGTGGGAGAAGTGCCAAAATGCATTTACTTGGAAGTCAGCCAACTTGTTTCGGCGGGGCTTTACTCCATGTTAAATTTGGACTGCACGGCAACCTTAATCAACGAAGTATTTCAAACGCTGCCTTGAGGACAGGTGGGCAAAATTCCAAAGTAAAAGAAATGCGCATTAGGCACCTGGTTCCGCATAGAAATTTGCTAACTGCAACATTCACCCATGCAATTTTCAGGATCAGAAGTTGCTGGCCTGGTTAACAGCAGCATGCAGCAGACTAACCAGCAAAGAGGGATGAGGAAGCAATTTCTGCCAAGAAGACGGAGCAACAAGAATTTGAAATGGGATCATCTCACTCCCTGCCTGACCTGGTGTATTTCTGGCACAGACCTTCACAGCTGATGCCCAGCTTGCAATGCAGCGCTTAGGCCGTTCACGACTAAATTCAACATTCCAGATCATATTACAAGTAGACTGGACAAGCAGAGATAAACTAGGCAGTTTGGCCTTATTTGAATATTTATAGAACTTGAGATTTTACTATTAAAGCAAGGGCAGCAGAATTGCTGCAGGAGAAGGAAGGAGGAATGATGTACATGACTGGTGACTGGGAGCAGCTGCCAGAGCCATATAACACTGGTTCTAGAAGACCTACACTGGATCCCAGTAGGTTTCCGAGCACAATTCAAAGTGTTGGTGCTGACCTTTTAAAGCCCTAAATGGTCTCGGTCCAGTATACCTGAAGGAGCATCTCCACCCCCATCGTTCAGCCCGGACACTGAGGTCCAGCTCCGAGGGCCTTCTGGCGGTTCCCTCACTGTGAGAAATGAAGCTACAGGGAACCAGGCAGAGGGCAGATGTCAAGGAGATAAACAACTATCTGACTTTTAGAAGACACCTGAAGGCAGCCCTGTTTAGGGAAGTTTTTAATGTTTGATGAATTATTGTATTTTTACTATTCTGCTGGATGCCGCACAGAGTGGCTGGGGAAACCCAGCCAGATGAGCGGTGTATTAATAATATTAATACAGTGGAACCTTGGCTTTCGAGCGTCTTGGAAGCAGAACGTTTCAGAACCTGAATGCCGAAAACCCGGAAGTAATTGCTTCCGTTTTTGAACACACCTCGGAAGCCGAATAGCGTGTTTTTCAATTTTCACCATAGAAACTGCTGACAGCCCTTTGGTTGTTGAACGTTTTGGAAGTCGAACGGTCTTCTGGAACGGATTATGTTCGACAACCAAGGTTCCACAGCACTTATTATACATAATAATTACTATTGTCATCATTACCTGAAGGCAGCCTTGCATGGGGAAGTTTTTAATGTCTTACTGTGCTTTAATTTCCTTTTGAACCTTTACTTGAGTGCTTCTCTCAATGAAGACTAGAGGCAGCTGGGCCTTTTTGCAAAAGAGAAAAGAGGCAAGAAGGAAATGCTCAATGCTGACTCCTCACCTGCCCAGTTTCTGTCCTTCCCCGGTGAAAGCCCTGAAGGCACCTCTGGGTTTTGTGAAATCCTCGTCGCGGTGGTCCTCCAAGTCCAGGTTGACCTGTCCGCCACGGGCCAACCGGCGAAGCTCCACAGGAACCTCCCTGACAAGGGAAAACAGAGGGAGGCAACTCAAGAAAAAGGACCAGCCAGCCTTACCTTTCTCTGTGGTAAGATGGAGCGAGGGAGCGTCCTGCAGAGTACAGCATCCCAGGGAATTAGATGTCTGGTGCAGCCAGTTACCAAACACTGGCCCACCTCCCAGAGCACTGCCATTACCCTCTGCGGATGGATTCCAGGAACTGGGAGTTGGATGGGTCTTGGTAGCTCCTCAGCTCTCCGCTGTCCAGGCTGAACCCACTCTTCCACAGCTTCAGGACCACGTGCACCTGTAAAATCAAAAGTCTTTCCACCATCTGCAGGGTGCCTCTCCCGGGAAGCCACACTGCTGCACATCTGCGCCCGTTCAAACCAGGGAGTGAGGTTGCCATGCCAGGCTGCAGAAATTGCAACCCTCCTCATCCTTCTTGCCCTGCCAGAGCTGCTGCCCTGGAAGCCAGCCTTCTCTAACCTGGTGCCTTTGCAATGTTGCTGGAGGAGAGAGCTAGTAAGGGAGATGGATGTGGAACCCTTTCTCGGCCACGTGCAAATGGCTTCAACTCACCCCGCCTGTCTTGGGCTCAACACACAGGGCAGAAAGCAGCTTGATGGATCCACCCTCCGATCCACCCTCTCTCCTCTGAAGCAGCCAGTGCCAGGGGTTTTATATGATGATGAATTTATTATTTCGGTCACAGACCAGTTTCAGCCCACATACAATATCAAGGAAGTCATAAAACACGATAGTGATACATTTGGATTTGCAGTTAGGTATAGCAGGGACAATACAAATATAGCAACTGTTTAAAAATATATAAATTAAAACTTAATCACTAACATATATCCTTGTATGCAATGTGTGGCTGGACATATGAAGCTGCCTTATATCTAGACAGATCATTGGTCTGTTTCAGCTCTGCCAATCTGGTTCCTGCCAGATGTTTTGGACTACAACTCCCATTAGCCCCATGCTGGCTGGGGTTGGTGGGAATTATAGTTTGATGCACCCGGAAGGAGCCTGGTTGGCAAAAAAAAAAAAGCTGGTTCCGCATCATATATGTTAGTGGTGTCCAAACTTTTTTCAAAGAGCCCAGATTTGATGAAGTGAAGGGCTGTGAGGGCCGACCAAATTACTGACCTTTTTTTAGGATTGAAGTTTGAAGTTGTTGAGCTTTTTTATGATTTTACCCCAAAGTTGAGTTTTTTTAGGGTTGAAGTTTTTTTGAGTTTTACCCCAGGAAATAAACTGCCACAGGGGCCAGATTAAACCGACCAGCGGGCCGGATTAGGCCCTCGAAACGGACTTTGGACATGCCTGATCTATGCTGAGCAGCAGCAGCAGCTCTCTATGGACTCGGGGGCAGAGTGAGGCCTTTCCTAGATCTCTGATCCTAGAGATATCTATCCTGGAGGTGCCAGAGAAAGCAAGCCAGGAACTGAACCCTGGATGGGAGAAAGGGGGATCTGGCCAGATCTCACTACCTCTAGTCCTACTCCTAGCAATACTCACATCCTGGGCAGCATTCTGCCTCATCTCTGGGGCAACATAAGCAGACTCCTCCTCGGGAGCAGCTCCCAGGCGGTACCCTCCACCTGCAAAGGGCTGCGAGAGAGAAAGGAACTGTGAGGCCTGGAAAAAGCAGGAAAAAGGCAGATGGGTCACCTCCGATCTCAACCTCCGTTCGGCGGCCCTGGCAAATACTTCTCGCTTCCCCTCCGCTAAAAATTCCAAGGATGGGCAGGCCAGATAGCTGGAGGGCTGACACACACACAACCCATGTCAGTATCTAACTTAATCCATCGTCCTTTAATGCGCCATTATCACTTCCCCACTAAACAACGGTTTTGCGAAGGGAAAGGAGCAGCTTTCAGATCAGCAAGCGTCTAAATGAAACATTTAGGCATGTGAGTGTGGAGTGGGATTTTGCCAGCCCTCCTTTTAGGGTGAGTTTTTTTGGGGAGGGAGGCAGTTCTGCAGGAACAACATCCACAGGGAATGGGCTACAGGAGACTGGCTGCAGCTGCCTTTAAGAGGGAAGATGCTGCTGACAACTACTTTCAGTGCAATGAGAATGTCTCAGCTAAGTCCATCTTTCTCAAGCCCTGGAGATTGCTTTAACTTCCTTCCCTGAGAGTCCACACTGGCCCCTTCTTGCTCTCTCCATCTACTTGAAGCTTCCAGCCCTCACTTTTTTCCACTTCTCCTCCAACACTCCTCCCTGCTTTATGCTCCACCTCCCTGACTATCGGTCCTTACTGCTCCTCGCTTTCCCATGCCTTCATCCATGCTGCTTTCTGGCCTCATTCAAGTCCCTCCCACCTGTCTCACTTCTGCGCCAACCACAGCCTTGCTTTACACGACCCCTTCTGAATATTTCATCTCAACAGAATCCCCCCTGGGTGTGCTCACTTTTGGCCTGCTGCCTTCCCCCGGGCTCTTGGCTGCTCTGTCGACAGCCACAGCTCCATGCTCTTTGGCCCCTCGGAACAAGTCCTCAACCAGCTCATTGGGGCTCTTCTTCCTCGGAGGACCAACAATCTGCTGCCCGCTTCGCTCAGAGCCCCCAGCGTAAAATCTGAAGAGACAACAGGCCCCCAAGATTACACCTCTCCATTGAAGACCCATTGAAGGCTGGGGCATGTATGCACATATGTGCTCAAACATATTTGCTAATTTTGTTACATATCTTTTGATGCCAGGCAAAAACATTCCTTTTATCCCAGGCCTTTGGCAAATTAAAACAATCTTTGACCCTTTAAATTGTGTGTGTGTGTGTGTGTGTAGGGAAGTACAGCCATACCTCATGTTACGTTTCCTTCTGGTTAAGCGTTTTCAGGTTGCATCCCGTGGCGACCCGGAAGTAACCCATTCCGGGTTTCGCCACTCGCGCAGATGCGCAAAATGATGTCACACGCATGCGCAGAAGCGGGTTGCGTTTTCAGGTTGTGAACGGGCCTCTGGAATGGATCCCGTTCGCAACCAGAGGTACCACTGTATTATTGCTTTTGTTTGCTATTATAGTATGTATTTTTGTGTTTTTATATTGTAAATCACTCTGTGATCTTTGGATAAAGGGCGGTATGGAAATTTTAATTTTAACAATAATAATAATTTCAACTCTCTACTGTAGCCAAAGCAAGTCCTGTTCTCAAACTGGGTTAAGCGCACACACACACACACACACTCACCCCAAGCCTAAGAAACAGGTTGTAAGAAGGAAGTAAAAAAATACACATTTGCAATTTTTACTCTCTGGCTGACTTGCAGCATTGGGACCAGAGTGGCACGGGCAGTAATGTTTGCGGATCAGCTGAACACTAGCAGGAGGACCTGACTGGATAGCACAGATGTGAGGCTGAGGAGGGGGAATTTGCGGCCCATGGGATGCTGGACTGCAACTCCTCTCAACCCTGACCACTGGACCATTCTGCTGGCAGTTGGGAGTCTTAACAACTTTTGGAAGGCTGCAGGTTCCCCATCCCTGAGTCAGGTCTCTGCTCCAGACGGCCTTTCTTCACTGTTCTGCTGGCCAGGCTGAGCAGACAACAGAGGCAAGGCAAAGAACCCAGCAGCTAAGTGCCACATCCTGTTCCTACGGCAGCCAACCAGATGCCCCAACAGGGAGCTGGCCAGAAGCAGGACCCCAGTGCAAAAGCAACTCTCCCCACCTGCGATTCTTAGCAACTGGCATTCAGAAGCCCGTGGCCTCCAAAAGTGGAGGGAGAACAGGCTGCAGGTATACCATAATGCCAGCTTGCACAGCGCTTGTGGATTGGACTTCAGGCACACCTGCCCAATAGGTTGGCCAACACCATTTTACCCAATCTGCCCGTGTGACCCTTCAGATTTACCAGGAGCCTCCTCTTGATTATATAAATCATCGGCCACAAACAGAAAGGCAGCCTTGGCAAAAGGAGAGAGGAGTCCCCTGGGCATGAGACAATTTAGGAGCTTTGGGTGGTTTCCAGTTTGCACATCCTGTCATTACAAGGATTTCCACTTGCGCAAGGGAACTCTCTCAGCTTCACACACCCCAACCTTATAGGACTAGGTATGTCAAGAGCTTTGAACACTCCCAGACTTGGGTCTCCAGCTGTTTTTGGACTACAACTCCCATCATCCCTAGCTAGCAGGACCAGAGGTCAAGGATGATGGGAATTGTAGTCCAAAAACAGCTGGAGACCCTGGGAAACCCTGCTCTAAACTTTCTGTAAATGCTTTCTTCATTCATTCATTCTGCTACAAGACAATCCTGAAAATTATGAATTGGCTTTATGTGCCCCAACGCCCACATTTCCCTTACCGACTCTGCCTATGATGTGTAGCACAGTAGTTTAAATAACTCAGTGTGTCTGATCTGTGAGGGCTCTTGTAACGCCCTGGACTGTGCCTCCCTTTCATTGCTTTACTGTGGGAGCTGTACATTTCCTAACACACACATCACAGGGATTCTCAGATAAGTCCATGGCTGAGAATGTGCTGTGACTGCAGAAAAGTCACATAACTTATCACTCAATTTAACTTCCTGGGAATGTGAGCTCTCTTTTCTTTTCAAGGTCAAGCTCCTAGACCTCACATTACCAAGATAGTTGATGCAAGTTTTAATCTGCATTTAAGTCTACTGTTGTTTTAATTTTCCGAAAGCCTTATTGTTGTTATTTTTCCTTCCTGATAATTTTGCCTTACAGTTTTTTGTAAACTGCTTTAATGTTGTTGTTTTGCACAATCAAGCAGCGTATGAATTTCATGACATAAATAAATAAGATATACTTGAAATTGTGTGGTCAATGCACAGTGAGAAGTCAAAGAAGGGGAGCTGATCAAGAACCCCAGAGGCTGCATGCCCCGCAAAGCTGTCTCCGCTCTTCCTTATAACTAGCAATACCAGGATAAATTGCACAAATAGTAGAAGAACAAGCTATTCAAAAAGAAAGAAAGAAAGAAAGAAAGAAAGAAAGAAAGAAAGAAAGAAAGGTGTGCAATTCATACAAGCCACAGACTAAGCCTTGCTTGGTGGAGAGTTTCTATTTATCTATTGGCACAGAGCAAACATGTTCATGTCATGGTAACAATACACTCGCCTGCTCCTCTCCCTAGGAAGAAAGAGCCGCAACCACTTACTATGCAAGATTCTGGAATGAAAGTGCTTCAAACAATGGCAGGGGAGGTCACGCCCTCCAAGAGCAGGACTCCCAACAGCTGCCTCAACAGAGAGGCCCCTGCCCAATGCAGACATTTCCATAGCAGCCTGGGCCTGCAAAAACCCATTTCCAGAGGGACTTTTTCCACCCCAACTCCTCCCTTCCCGATAAATCAGGGGGGAAGTCAGGAATTCAAACAAACCTTTGTCCTTCCTCCTCCTCTTCCTCCTCCTCCTGAGCATGGACAAGGTCTCGGAATGACGTCACCCTGTGGTCACTGGTGAGACAAAAGGAGACACAATATGAGTGTGCCACACGTCCCTCTGATGCAACTGCAGCACCAACAGCACTGAGCATTAACGGCGAGCACAGAACGACAAGAAGTGGAAGGCCAACCAGGTGCCCAAAGGATACGTTTTTTTAATACAGAGCAGCTTGCTAGAGATGTGATGGTCTAGTTCAGGGGTAGGCAACCTAAGGCCCGTGGGCCGGATGTGGCCCAATCACCTTCTCAATCTGGCCCACGGACGGTCCAGGAATCAGTGTGTTTTTACATGAGTAGAATTTGTCCTTTTATTTAAAATACATCTCTGGGTTATTTGTGGGGCCTGCCTGGTGTTTTTACATGAGTAGAATGTGTGCTTTTATTTAAAATGCATCTCTGGATTATTTGTGGGGCATAGGAATTTGATCATTTCCCCCCAAAAAATATAATCCAGCCCACCACATGGTCTGAGGGACGGTGGACCGGCTCACGGCTGAAAAAGGTTGCTGACCCTAGTTCAGTTAGTACAAAAATCTGAAAAAACTGGGATCCCTCCCATTTTCCCTGGCACCCCTCCCCCATTTTTTCCGGGTGTTTCCTCCCAGGCCTTTGCATCTCCATGTTTATGACAACTGATTACTAAAATGCCAAACGTTGTTAAGGACAGTGTGGTATAAGGGATGATCTTCCATCTTGCAAGGACTGATGCCCCGCACCAAAGGAGTACAGCACGTTTTTGTGAGCTCTGACAGACCTGATGGATTCCTGCCCGTAAAGGACAGCCCATCCCACCACCTCATCGACAGGAGGGCAGGTTTTGCTCTTATCCCTGTTGGAAAAACGCCAGGGAAGGCCACCACCTTCCCAAGACACCGGGGTGTCTCTCCGGTGGTCCCTCTCTGGCTGTAAATCTTCCTCAGTCCAGAGAGACCGGCAATAAGCATCTCATAGCAGAAGAAAGAGACAATCAGTACCTCTAAACTACCGTATTTTTCGCTCTATAGGACAAACTTTTTCCCCTCCAAAAATTGAGGGGAAATGTGTGGGCGTCCTATGGAGCGAATGCAGGCTCCTTGGCTTCAGCGATAGCAACGCTAAGCCTCCGAAGCGCAGAGGGAGCACTCCCTCCGTGCTCCAAAGGCTTTGCGTTGCTTTCGCTGAAGGCTGGAGAGCGAGAGCTGTCGGTGCGCACCGACCCCTCTCGCTCTCCAGGCTTCAGGGATAGCCGCGCACAGCCCCTCCAGCAGGGAGAGGCTGCACGTGGCTATGGCTTCTTTGGCCCCACACAGCTTCTCTCGGGAGGGAGAGGTTGCGTGGGGCTAAAGAGGAAGCCAAAGCAGCCAGCGGGATGGATCCTGCTGGCTGCCTTGGCTTGTGACATAGCCGCGCACAACCCCTCCGGCAAGGAGAGGTTGCGCGCATCCTGTACGCTGCTCTTTGGGGCTGGGGGGGAAATAAGATTATTTTTCTTGATTTCCCCCCCTAAAAACTGGGTGCGCCCTATGGTCCAGTGCGCCCTATGGAACGAAAAATACGGTACTTTATTTACAGTCTATATACAAAGAATCCATCAGCACGTCTGTGCTCTCTCAGCAGCAGTACAGAACAGCATCACACACAGAAGTGTCACTAATCTCTCCAACAGTACTCAGACTCCCTATCTCACGCTCTCAGACACTCACATGATATAAACAACCGACTGCTACTTGCTGAGCAGCACGGGTGGATAAAAACCCTAACAATCCCAAGTACCCTTAGGGGCACTTTGCATTTCTGGGGGGAGTGAAGGGGGTACGTTGCACAAAAGTGGTTTAAAGTTCAAATCGCAGGAGCGATTTCAGAATTTGGGGGCAGGCAACGTATCGCACTCGCCCCCAGGCCGCAGGAAGCATCGCACACTTCCAAGTGCACGGGGTTGGACTAGATGACCGTTGGGTCCCTTCCAACTCTAAGATTATATGATTCTAAGCGCCCAACCAGGCAGCCCACTCTCTCCCTCCACAGCACAACTGCCATGAGAGCCAGAGACGCCAGTAGGGCATCCTGCCTGCCAGGCAGCGTCTTCGCTTCTTTCTCTTCTCCCTCCCTCCCTCCTTGCACCCAGGCAAAATGGAGCCGCCTTGCATGGCACTCCAGAGGGTTGCTCCAAGTAGCAGGACACAACTGGCAGCTTTATGGAGGCTGGTGGCACCCTGGGGGTCCACATTTCCATGCATAGGGCCTTGTGGCGCCCTGGCCTCCTCAGACTGTGCTCCTTGGTCACAGTATAGTGCGGCAGAGGGTTGGGAACTGGTTTTGGGTGGACAGAGGAGGAGCCACAATTTTGCTCAGCATGCAAGGGACCATCATCTTCTAGCAAGCATCATTTTCCTGAGTTTGTAGTTGGGGAGCTTGAACCCCACCACCCCAATTCGCACCGCACTTTCAAGGCATTCTATGCACTCCTGAAAGTCAAAACGTCCGAAGACAGTCTGAAATCTGCAGGCAGATAGTAGGGCTGGGTGATATAACAATATAGTGCCTGGAACCAGTGTGAAGACCATATTGTGATAACGGTTTCATAGTTTTTTAATCTGGCAATATATTGCAAATCATGACGTGTGTTAGTGCCGGGCGATGTAGCGCTCAAAACCGGTTTCAAGTCCGTATCATGATAATGGTTTCACAATTTCTGAACTGGTAATATATTGCGAATCACGATGTGTGTGTGTGTGCTATGCAAAAATCACGAGGGAAAAACTGTGAAGCCAACCAGTGCCTCTACGTGGCTCCATTCTTATTTCAGACTTTGTGCTATATCAGCATATCGTGATGTGTAGCTGGCGATATATCAAGAAGTTGAAAACCAGGTATCACCCAACTCTAGCAGATGGCCTGATATGCTCCAAAGGCTCATGGTGGATACTAATGCAATCCTTTACCTCGTTCTTTCTTTCCTCAAGAATGTGAAATTCACAATACACCTAGGCTAGAGAGGGGGACAACTGAGCATGCTCAAACTCTCTCTCTCAGTGACTGCATGACTAAGCAGAAATGTGAAAGCAGGTCAGGCCGATAGCCCAAAATGTTGCTGTTTGGTCTGCTTTCTGCACCTGAGTCCACGCCAGATCTTTTTGTGAGAAGCACTGGAAAATCGGTTTCCCCGATCCCATTCCTCCCTCCGCCCAGTTTAACACACAATAGTTGACACGATGAGGATGCAAATTGTAACAGCAGCCAACCAAATTATGTGGCAGTAACATTTTTTTTTTTAATCCCCACAATGCAATCCCTCCTAAGCAGGTCATGATTAGTCATCCCCAAGAGAACAGTGTTGGCCCACTGAGAACAGGCTTTTCCCAGACTCAGCAGATTAGATCCTGTTAACTGGGGACGCTTAGGACTAAATCTGGGTCCTTCTGCATGTCAGAATATGTGCTCCACTAAGCTGCAGCACATCAAATATAGCAGCCTCAGTATCTGGTGGGCACCAGGTTGGGGAAGGCTGCAGCCATAGTGGGAAAGTAGAAAATATTCCACAAAACGCATGCACACAAGGAGAGAGCGCTGCTTCTTCTTCCTCGGCTCCAGCACAAAAGGGAACTGTTTTTACAACCCTTTTTGCAGTGCTGAAACCTCCCAAAGAATAAAAAGGACTTGAGAGGCATGCCTATATTACACATTGTGGGCTTACCCCCATTGCCCAACAGACCCAGAGTACAGTGCGGGTGGGAACTGCAGTTCCATGAACGCTAGAGATCCCTAGCAGGGTGTCCTCATGGCCTCCCCAGCAAGTTACACTTCCCAGGGTTCCTGTGCGGGAAGGAAGTTCTGGCAGTTGCACACCAGCTCGCAATATAGACATGCTCAAAGATGAGCCCGTTTGACCTCACCTGGGTGCGGTGCCTCGGGTAACAGAGCTGGGAGCTGGCTGTGGGAGCGTGATGATGTCTTCGTCACCTCCATCTTCATAGAAACTGGCCAGGGCAATCTGAAAGGAGGGACACACAGCTGTTTCTGAGAGCGAGCTCCATTGCTTAGTGCCACCCAAGAGGGAGAGAAGACAACTGTCAATAACCTTGTGACGACTTCTGTACCATATACCACGCGAGGCAGGTGGGGAAGTACAGAAAACTCCCTTGGCCTGAGAATGGCAGATGAAGTTGATGGACTATATGGAACTGGCAGAAATGACTGGCAGAATCCGAGACCAGGGAGAAGAGTCGGTGGAAGAAGATTGGAAAAAATTTAAAGACCATCTACAGAAATACTGTAAATTAATGAATGTTAGAAAAATGTTGGAATGAAGTTATATGGCTTTAGTAGAAATGTTATAAGGAATTAAGTACAGATAGGCTAATAGAGCATTAAAGGAAAAATAAGGTTAGAATGAGTTAAGATAATTATAGGATAGAAAACAGAGGAAGATGGAAAGGAATTGCTGAAATAATTAACAGAAGTGGAATACAAAAAGGGAGGTGTGAGGAGGTCGTGGAAATAAGTGAATGAAAGATGGGATAATGAAATTGTTTGACTTATTTTATTGTTTTTGTTTCGTTTTGTTAATTTGATGTGTTGTATTGTCTTTTTAGTGTTTAAGTTTTTGGAAAAATAATAAATATTATTTTTTTAAAAAAAAGAAAACTCCCTTGGCCTGGGTAAGTTTGTGGTGCTCTCCAACCTTCTCACTGCTGCTTTGGTTTGGACTGCAATTCCCATCAGCCCCAGCCAGCAAGTATTGAATCTGATAAAAATATACTGTATTTTTTGCTCTATAAGACGCACCTCGTTTTTGGAGGAGGAAAACAAGAAAAAACATATTCTGAATCCCAGAAGCCAGAACAGCAAGAGAGATCTGGCCTCTGGGATAGCCTCTTGCTGTCCTGGCATATGGGATAGCCACGCACAGCCTCTCCCAGGCAGGGGGATGAAGGCTCCCCCTGCCTGGAAGAGGCTGCGCGCGGCTAAGGCAGAAGGCTCCCCCAAGAAACGCGCTCCCTTTAAAGAGCGCGTGGAGCGTGTGTGTGGCTCTTTAAAGGGAGCACTGAGCAGAGCCTCCCGCCTGCATTCGCTCCATAAGACGCACACACATTTCCCCTTACTTTTTAGGAGGGGAAAAGTGTGTCTTATAGAGCGAAAAATACGGTAATGTTGTATTCCAAGACACCATGCAATATGGGAACATGGCACCACCATACAGAATTCCTACCTGGCAACATGTTCATGCAAGGGAAATTGTCGTTTACCTGCTGTAACATGTCAAGTAGCCCTAAAGCATTGGAAAGAGAGCTCCTCTCAGAGAGACACTTGGAACTGTTCTCCATTAAGTGCCAAATTATTACACTTTTGCTGAAAAACACCAGGTGCCTGTTCACCAGAGGCCATTCCTTCTGGGCAAATACCTTGCCAATCCCAGGGTTCAAACAGTGTAGTGGAACACAGATGCCGATGGGCAAACTAAAGTTTATGGGCTCATAAGCAAGACTGTTCTGCGCTATAAATGTCAAATTTATAATCTTGCTAAAATATATGGAAGCTCCAGAATGGGTGTTTGAAACAGTATGCCGGCAGTTAGCCTGTGACTTTCTCAGCCTGCGGCACCTTCATAATTGGAACAGTCTGGATCTTCTTGGAAGCCAAAGTGCTGTAGGTGGGAAACCAGTTCTACCTGAAGCACAAGTTGCCTAGCTGCAATTGGTGTTGAGCTGATCAAAGTATTACATCTCCAGCTGTGGCTAACACCAGATTACTTGACTATTTAGTAGGAAAACTAAAAATCAGCCTCCCCTCCAACAGTTAAAGGAAGAGCTTTTCCACTAATACCTTTTCTTTCTTCCATTGATGTAATATTTTTTCCTTGTGTCCTCCTGATTCACTATTTGGGAGCTACTGGTTAAGGTACCTGGATTCTGGAAGATGAACTTTTTTTTTAAAGAGGGATAGAAATTTACTTGCAACTTCCAGCCAGCATTCTAAAAAAGCGAAGAAAGAGCAATGATGACAGGCTACAAATGGGCAGCAATGAGGTCTTCTCTCCATCCTACTGCAAAGCAAGTCAAAAAACGGTGGCTTCTTTATCAGAATGGAGCCCACTGGCAAGAGCTAAGCCAGCCTTCAACAATCTAGTGCCATCTAGAAGTTCTGAACTACAACTGCACTACAACTCCCATCAGCCACAGAAGCCTGCACGCTGACGGCAATCATAGCCCAAAACATATGGAGGGCACTAGGTTAGCAAAGGTGAAGCTAAGCCAAAAGAATAAGGTAATATTTTACACACTCAAAAGTCTTGACCCTTGAGTGTGCAGGAGGGAACGACTCTGCTACAAGAAGGAAGATAGTGTATGGGAGAATAGAGGGCGAAGAAGAAAGATGTGTCATGAAGAAGAGGGTGAAGGAGAAAGAAAGAGCCTACTGGATCAGACCATCTGATCCCAGAGCCCATGTAATCCAGCATCCCAGTTAAGAAGGAAGGATTGTTAAATCACTCTGCGAATCGTAGCTCTGTGATAGGAACGGGTGTCTCCTATCGGCTCTCAGCAGTACCCTTAACAAACCAAGAACAGAAGAAGAGCCTGCTGGATCAGTCCCAATGGCCCATCTGGCCCAGCATCCTGTTCTCACAGAGACCAAACAGATGCCCCCCCTTTTTTTGCAAAACCTGCAAGCAGAACTCTTATCACAAGAGCAACTCTCCCACACTTTCCAGTGACTCCTCCAGTCCTCTTTCCCAAGCCTTCCAGGCTGGCGGACACTGCTGTCTGCCTCCTGCAGAGGTGAGTTCCTGAGTTCTGCAGGGTGGAGGGAGAGAGGGAGGAAAGAAAGGCGGTACTAGAGACCAAGGAATGTGGGGAGGGGACCACAGGAGGGGGGCTACAGGGGGAGGGGAGCATTTCTGTACTAGGACCATTGTCCAGGGCAGTCCAGCTGTGTGTGGAGGGAGATGGGGCAAGTGGTGGAGGGAGAAGGGGGGAGAAAAGAGGGAGAAGGGGGAGAGGGAAGGTGGTGGTGAGGGGAAGAGAGGGAGGGCAGGAGAGAGGAAAAGGGGAGGGCAGTGGTGAGGGGGAGAGGAAATGGGGAGGGGTGGGGGGCAGGAGAGGGGGGGCGGGGAAGATGGTGGGGAGGGGGAGAGAGGGAGGGCAGGAGAGAGGAAAAGGGGAGGGCAGTGGTGAGGGGGAGAGGAAATGGGGAGGGGTGGGGGGCAGGAGAGGGGGGGCGGGGAAGATGGTGGGGAGGGGGAGAGAGGGAGGGCAGGAGAGAGGAAAAGGGGGAGGACAGTGGTGAGAAGGAGGGGGCAGGGTAAAAGAGGGAGGGCAGGTGGGAGGGGGAGAGGAAAAGGGGCCGGGGGAAGATGGTGGGGAGGAGGAAAGAAAGGGGGAGAGAGGAAAAGGGGGAGGGCAGTGGTGAGAAGGAGAGGAAAAGGGGGTGGGGCAGGAGAGAGGGGGAGAGGAAAAGGGGGCAGGGAAGATGGTGGGGAGGGGGAGAGAGGGAGGGCAGGAGAGAGGGAGAGGAAATGGGGTAGGGGTCTGGGGCAGGAGAGAGAGGAGAGGAAAAGAGGAGGCAGGGGCAGAAGAGAGGAGATGGGGAAAAGGAGGGAGGGGAGGAAAAGAGGGAAGGAGGGGGTAGGGGGAAAGAGGGAGGGCAGGTGGGAGGGGAGAGGAAAAGGGGGCGGGGGAAGATGGTGGGGAGGGGGAGAGAGGGAGGGCAGGAGAGGAAAAGGGGGAGGGGTGTGGGAAGAGAGGAAAGGAAAAGAGGGGGCAAGAGAGAGGGGGAGGGGAAAAGGAGGGAGAGGAGGGGAAGAGGGAGAGGAAATGGGGGAGGACAGGACAGGAGAGAAGGGAGAGAGTCCAGGCGGCCCATTCGGGTGTTAGGAGGAGAAAGGGGGAGAGGCGCTGCTGCTGCTGCTGCTCTTTCTCCCCCCTTCTTCTCCCCCCCCGGGAAGCGAGGGGCGCCCCCTCCCCGGCCGAGGGTTACCTGCAGATCCCCGCCCGCCGACTCCAGGAAGAAGCGCGCTCGCTCCTCCTCGGCCCCGGTCACGGCCACGAACTCCCTCAGCGCCTCCTCCCGATCCGCCATCTTGCCCCGGTGCAACCGCCAAAGCGCTCCGGCCCGGCCGCCGCAGCCGCCTCGGAGCTCAGCTTCCGGCTTCCTGCCTCACTTCCGCCCTCTGGGCGAGGGAAGCCTTTCGTTCCGCCTCGCTCGTGGCAACGCTCAAACCGCTCCGGGTGGAAACGAACGAATGAATTTTTTTTTTAAGCTCGCAGAGCGCCCCCTGCCGGCGCGACGTTCGCTGTTTCGATAACGGGAGCTCATTGCAAGGAGGCGAGGCGAGGGCGCTTTACAGGGAGTTTACCGGTCACTTTCTTCCTTGCAAAACTTCGGGTTCGTGGTGCAGATCGACACTGGTTGCGCAACCTGGTTTTGCCTGCATGCGATTGAATCCCACCCCCAAAACAGCAGCAGCCGGGAAGCGTCCAGAAGGCGCGAGCCTGTTGAGCTGCTGCCAGCCAGAGTTGACAATACTGGGCTACATGGACAAATAGGCAGCGTTGTAAAGCCGCTCGCCCACCCTGTAAGAAACAGATGCAGTGCGTTTTTTAAAGAGTACTGTTACAGTAGTGATGTATGGAAGTGAGAGCTGGACCATAAAGAAGGCTAATTGCCGAAGAATTGATGCTTTTGAATTCTGGTGCTGGAGGAGACTCTTGAGAGTCCCATGGACTGCAAGAAGATCAAACCTATCCATTCTGAAGGAAATCAGCCCTGAGTGCTCACTGGAAGGACAGATCGTGAAGCTGAGGCTCCAAGACTTTGGCCACCTCATGAGAAGAGAAGACTCCCTGGAAAATACCCTGATGCTGGGAAAGATGGAGGGCACAAGGAGAAGGGGATGATGGATGATGAGATGGTTGGACAGTGTTCTCGAAGCTACCAGCATGAGTTTGACCAAACTGCGGGAGGCAGTGGAAGACAGGAGTGCCTGACGTGCTGTGGTCCAAGGGGTCATGAAGAGTTGGACACGACTAAACAACTAAACAACAACTGTTAAAGTGGTACCTTGGGTTACATACGCTTCAGGTTACATACGCTTCAGGTTATAGACTCTGCTAACCCAGAAACAGTACCTTGGGTTAAGAACTTTGCTTCAGGATGAGAACAGAAATTGCGCTCCGGTGGCAGCAGGAGGCCCCATTAGCTAAAGTGGTGCTTCAGATTAAGAACAGTTTCAGGTTAAGAACGGACCTCCGGAACGAATTAAGTACCTAACCCGAGGTACTGAAGGGGGACAGTTAGAATGAAGGGGGACAGTTGGGGACAAGTACCACTGTATTATATTTATTTTACAGTTACATGCAATCAGAACAAAGCTCAAAAGCGGAGCAGCAGGCACCTTCTGGACACACACTCACCAACTGCAATACAGGCATGTTTTGAGTTATTCACTTGAAAGTCAGTTGACCACAACATGGACATCAAACCCACCCATCCACTCCAGCAAAGTGCAAATTCCTCCTCCATCTCTTCCTCCAAACTGCATGCCCATCCAGTGCATACTTTACAGATGGATTATCTGATGCAGTCTCTCCCGATCCTTTCCATTCATCCACTACGAGCAAATGTTTCCTCAGGTTCGTGGCTGGGTTTAGCAGCAGCATGCGTGTAAGATTAGGTAATCACAGGGTGCTCAGTCCTTAAGGCACGGTTTCTTAAGCAATTTAGATTTCATGTATCTCCTGCATATTTTTCTGATCATCCACGTGACGTTGTCCTCATCCACCGCCCCCCGATTTAATTCAGATTTTTCTGATCTGCACAGAATGTGTCGAATAAAAAAATAAACACAAGATCACATGCTATCCAGCTGTGGACACATTAGGTGGGCATTGTGGTTCTTTAATTGTGTGCCAGCACATTATAAAATGGGCAGAGCTAAAAGGCTCTTTGGTTGGCAGCTTACACAGAAAAGACCGTGCTTGCCTCCCCTACACTTTCTATCTCTATGTTCAACCTCCGAACCCAGAAATTCCCTGCGTGTGCCGCTCTAGCTTTCCCTGCGACATCTATGGTAAAGCCGCTGCGCTATCGAGCGCAGAAACGGAGCAGTGAAGGGAAAGAGGAAGGCGGGCGCGACGCATGCGCGGTGGGCGCTGTTTACTCCTCTCCGGCGTGCGCCCGAGGCGCGGCGGTTGGCGGCGGCGGTGACGTCTTTGGCAGGCGCCAGCCGAGGCGGGCAAGAAGCGAGAAGTGGGCGGAGCCTCGGGAGGGAGGAGTAAGGGAAGAGGGGAAAAAGAGACACGAAGCCGGAGAGGCCCGGCCGGGATGCTCCTCGGCGGCGCCCAGAGACCATGGCCCTCCGGAGGCCGCCGCCGCCGCCGCACCAAGACAACGGGAGGCGAGGTACGCGGGCCGCTCGGCCGGCGGGGGTGCGAGGCCCTCGGCCGACTTGACAGCCGGGCGCCTGAGGGGGGAAAGGGAGGCCTTCGCTCCGCTGAGGGGCGACGCGGCCCTGAGGGAGAAGGGGCGGGGCGGGGCGGAGGCCACGCCCCGTCCCCCTCGCTCAGGAGGCAGGAGCCAATCGGAGGGGGTCGTTCCGGGGGTGGGCGGGGCGAAGGGTGACGCTTCCTCCGCTTTCTTCTCAGAAGTGTCAGGCAGAAGTCGAACAGGTGAAGCAACTGCGACTCCCGCCATCTGGTTCCCTGTGTACTCTATTTATTTATTTTTTTTGGGGGGTGGGATTATTCCAAATAACTGCAGTGGGAGGCCCCTTGAATGGGGGTGGGAGCATAGCTGTCAACTTTCAGATTTGAAAATAAGGGATCAGCAGCCTCGAAAATAAGGGATCAGCAGCATAGGGGTCAACTTTCGGGTTTGAAAATAAGGGATCAGCAGCCTCACCTGTCCCGGAGACAGTCTACGGGATATATAACAATCCGGGATAGCAGCGGGAAGCAGCGGGAAACGGCACTGAAATAAGGGAATTTCCTGCAAAAAAAAGGGAAGGTTGACAGCTATATGGGTGGGAGGAAGCTGCTCCCCCCCCCCCAGCAGTACTAAGGCAGGTGTGTGTTCATACCATTTCGCTTCCAGTGCAAAAGTGAAGTAGGTGGGCGGGCTTCCCTCAGGAGGGTTAGGACCCATCTGCAGGGACACTACAGAGAAGGTGTCCTCTCTCTTTCTGATATGCTATGCGCATACTTTCACTTAACAAAATTTTAAAAAGGTAAAGGGACCCCTGACCATTAGGTCCAGTCGTGACCGACTCTGGGGTTGCGGCGCTCATCTCGCTTTATTAACCGAGGGATCCGGCGTACAGCTTCCGGGTCATGTGGCCAGCATGACTAAGCCGCTTCTGGCGAACCAGAGCAGCGCACGGAAACGCCGTTTACCTTCCCGCCGGAGCGGTACCTATTTATCTACTTGCACTTTGACGTGCTTTCGAACTGCTAGGTTGGCAGGAGCAGGGACCGAGCAATGGGAGCTCAACCCGTCGCGGGGATTCGAACCGCGACCTTCTGATCGGCAAGTCCTAGGCTCTGTGGTTAACCCACAGCGCCACCCGCGTCCCTTTAACAAAATTTAGGTACCGTTTTATTGGAAAACCTGTAAGCAGTTTACAAGAAGTGTTGGAATAAAAGCAAATAAAACATTTACAAATGATTAAAATTAGCAGTAAAGGAAATTGAAACACAGCAGCTGCCTGGGTGAGGGCTGGAACGCTCTTGGTCTAAGAGCTAACCTAGAAGTGGGGAACCTTGAGCTCAGTAGCCAGGTGCAGCCGTTTCTACCTTTCATTCATTCACTTCATTTATTGGACTTATTAGACACTTGTCGCCCAAAGGTCTCCAAGCAACTTGCAGCAAAAAAAGAAGATATACAATATATAATACTATGGGACTTTCCCCAGGATACACACCCTTCACCAGCCCTGCTTTGCAACCTCCTTTTTGTCTGGCTAGAATGTGCTGCTAAACTCCGATTGAGAGGGATATGCATAGAAAAAGCTTTCTGTACAAAAGCAAAATTAGGATTCTTTGCTGCACCTACATTTGCTTCTGGCCCCACCTACCACTGGTGTGCTGCCCTAGAAGCATTGTGGCCCTCATAATGAAAAATTCCACACCTAACTGAATTATTCCTTTTAGACAGATAAGTTTTTAGCCATCCTCCTGCATGTATGCAATCCATTTCACTGTTGCCTGTGCCACTGCGGGGCTTCTTTTGGGGGAGAAACAGTCCTTTATTCCACTCATACTTCTTCACTAAAGTCATGTGTGTGCAAAACAGAGTTGTCTCGGCTACTGCCGTCCTTGGGAACCAGAGCACTGAGGACCTTCCATTCCACTGTCATGACACCTGTGCAAATTAGCAATAAGGAGGATAGAGTGAAAGAGAAAGAAACCAGGGTCAATTTTTATTTAGACTGTGAGTCAAGTAGAAAGAAATCCTTCTTCTGTTTGCTCGTCTTGCTTATTTTGGGATCATTTCTGTCAAGTGGCATGTAGCTTTCCAAGTTCCAGCATTGTGTTCTGTAGAAACTGAGCACTCATGAAATTTCCTGCCAAAACAACCTTCTGCATGTGGCTGGAAACGCAGAAGAGTTACACACTGCATACCAAAGTTTTTAAGGCACTGTTGCAAACTGCAGGGGGTTGTGTAATTGGGGTGTGTGTGTGTGTGAGGGTTTTTGGTGCCCTCCTTTTGGGTCATTTGTTGTCTTGCAAAACTATCCAGAGTGACAAGTTGCCTTGCCAAGTTAGAGCCCTTCAAATCAGCTCCCATCTGAATTCTAAGAGTGGGTGTTAAGGATGCAAATTGCACAAACAGAGTCTTATGAAAGAGGCTTTTAAATGCAAACTGGTCATGCTTCCACATATTTGGCTCCCTGAGGTTGTTGCTGCTCCTCACCCCCCACTGTCCTTCTTGCACTGGAGAAGTATATGAACATAAAACAAAGCAGCTGATTATCACCAGCTTTTTCTGGTGGCTCTGATCCAGATGTGTAGCAGTGTTCACAATGAAACTGCAAAAGGTTTAGATCTTTGGGAGCTTGTTGTATTGTGCTCAATGCATTTAGCCAGCTGCTATGCATAACAGTCAGATATCCTTAAAAGGTTATACTGGATCACGTGCTTGCTTTGTGCTTGCCTTATTACTGCTGGCAGGGACACGGGTGGTGCTGTGGGTTAAACCACAGAGCCTAGGACTTGCCGATCAGAAGGTCGCGGTTCGAATCCCCGTGACGGGGTGAGCTCCCGTTGCTTGGTCCCTGCTCCTGCCAACCTAGCAGTTCGAAAGCACGTCAAAGTGCAAGTAGATAAATAGGTACTGCTCTGGCGGGAAGGTCAACGGTGTTTCCGTGTGCTGCTCTGGTTTGCCAGAAGTGGCTTGGTCATTCTGGCCACATGACCCGGAAGCTGTACGCCGGCTCCCTCGGCCAGTAAAGCGAGATGAGCGCCGCAACCCCAGAGTCGGCCACGACTGGACCTAATGGTCAGGGGTCCCTTTAGCCTTTACCTATTACTGCTGGCAGCCCAGCCAGATGGGTGGTGTATAAATAATAAAATTATTATTAACCTTTGCATTAAAAACAAATTGGCTAGTTTTTAGCAACAGTCAAGTACCAAGTGCTACTGATGCAAGTGTTGCTTAGTTTGTGATTCATTGGAATGAGGTTACGTGCCTATGTTGGTGTGAAGAAAGCTTTCTGTGATGCAACACTTTCTGATGTGATTCTGTTGAGATGGAGAGTGTCGCAGTGACTGACGGTCAGATCTTTTGAGTGTGCAATGCCAAATTGTGTACAATACTAAACTGAAAGGAAAAAAGTGTCCTATGTGGCAATTGAGCAGTTCTGTCTTTCAGAGCATTAAGCTAAAGATTCCATAAATGAAACAGCAGAGTGTCAGCCAAGAGGTGACAAAGTTACTAGCCTGCGACATTTGCATTGGCCCATCTGATGTTTGTTGTGTCACCATTGCCTTTCGGTCAACTATTTGGTTTCTTCTTAAACAAGTTTATTAACTACACTGTAGAAAACACCCTGTGATTTGGTGGGTTGGCCAGTGTGATCTAGCGCCCCACTTTTCCCATCTTGTAAATAAATTACTGTCCCCTTTTGAGGCCACAATCATTAGCAGGCGAAACTGCTGTTAAGGCTGGTTTGAATTTGATTTTTGTTTCTCTTGCAGACTGTGATTCCAAGAAAAAAAGGAAAGAAGCAGACATCTACCAGGCCCTGAGCAGCGAGCCTGTGGATGTTGCTGCACTCAGGCGCATGGCTATCAGCGAAGGGGGGCTTCTGATGGATGAGATCCGCTGCAGGGTGTGGCCAAAGCTGCTTAATGTGAACACAGAGGACCTGCCACCTCCGCCAGGTGAAGCCACATAACTCTTGCAATCTGGGGAAAGACTCTGGGAACCTTTGAGCTTGAGTGTGGGGTTAATTACTCAAAGCACAGTTTGCATTTTGGTTTTACAGTATTTTTTTTTTTTTATGTAATTGGAGAGCTCTCTTCCATTAACATGGCTTTTAGTATTCACACAGAGTTGTTCCGTGGCTTCACCCTCTTGCATATTTAATGCTATTAAAAAGCAGATCCAGGAATGGTTTAGAATAAAAATAAATAAATCCAGGAGTCCAGTAAAACTCCTTTTAGCTGCAGCCCCCACAAATGGCAGCAAATCCATTTGGAAGTGCAGCTGGTGGTGTCTGGTGCAATTAGCAGGTGAAGAGAAGCCTGTTCAGATGGCATTGCAATATGTGCTACCCTTAAGACTGATGTTTCCCTGGTGCTCAGAACCTGTGTTGTTAGTGTCCCATTGCATAGATCAAACCATGTTTTGAACAGTGATGAGTACTTGTTAATAGGTATTCAGTTTCAGTTTTTATGGCTGTATTAAACACACTTCCCTCCTTAGTTCCTTGGGGCTGGTCCTCCTTTTGTGACTGCTGTGGATTTGTGACACTCTTCTATCCCTCCTAGGTGAGGAACTCCGGGAGGACAACAAAGATTACCAGCAAGTGTTGCTGGATGTGAGGCGATCTCTCCGGCGCTTTCCTCCAGGTACAAGAAGCACTCTCTCTGCTTCCAGCTGTGGGGTCTCTGCAGAAATCCCTTGGGTTGAAAGTAGAGATGACAGAGAATTTCATTTGGCCTGCATTTCTAGTGAAATGACCTAATTTACACCTCCCACACTCATACGCAGATTAAAATACAATCATCCTTTGGGATTTCACACTTCTCTGATTTTCTTGGCTCAGAAAAGAAGTGTTTATGAAATGTATGCACTGACATAGTATTTTGCAGCAAAACGTACATTGAAATATTAATTTAGTTATGAATTTCCACACATATTTTGCTTTAATAAATTCACAGATAAGTGTGGAAATGGGACAGAACAGACTTAAGAATAAATGCATGGAAAGTTGGCATGAGCTGGGAATAGACTGAACCATCTACCCCTAGTAGAAAACCATGATGCCTGAACTAGTTTAAGCTGATAGCTTAGACATGCTGCTTGCGATATTGTTGCCCTAGCAACACCCCAGTGGCCCAGAATAAGTGAGTCTTGAGGGAGGTCCTCTGTTTCTTTATCTGCGCTTGTGTTTTCACTCCCCACCAATGGGTGATGCTGCTGTATGCTTCATTTAGCTGTTGCTTGCCTCAGACCATGGTATTCCTCAGCCTGAAGTGAAAGAGCTGGTGACTCTTAATGTGCTAAGCCAAGTCACTTTGCCAGCAGATCCAGTTCAGAGAGAACTTCTCCGTGCAGAGGAAAATGCAGCTTCCTCTTCTGTTTGCCACTGGCAATCCTGCTGTATTTCATTGTGCAGGAAAGGGTCCTGTGTACTACCAGAGGGTGCTCATGTTTGCAGAATATCAACCCAGTATATTTGTAGCTGAAAAGTTTGGAGCCTGACTGCACAAGTGTAAACTACTCCCTTCTCTTGCACTGGAACAAATAGCCAATTGAAGGGTGTTGCGTTTTAAACTGTCTCAAGCCAGCTAAAAAGATGAAAATATGACCTTGCCTTGTGCCAAGTAATGTCATAGGTCCATCTAGCCTAGGTTCTGACTGTCTTTGGCGGCAGCTCTTCAAGGTCACAGCAGGATCTTTTTCCTCCAAGTCCTGCTGCCGCCTAAGTTCCTGAAGATGCAGCTGAAGGAACGAAATACTGAATCTCCCTCTGAGCACCAGTGATATTTTGATATTTAATGAAGCTGCGAGACTTGTGATTAAAATAAGAGATAAATTGCCTGGGAAATTATCAGATTTATTGCTTGAACCAAGGGATGCCCACCTTCAGATAGAGATGCTGTAAAACTACTATTACCAAGTTTTCTTGCAGGGATACAGTGACTGGTTAACTGCTTTATGCTTGTAGTGCAGACTTACTGAGCTTCTGCTATTGAGTTTGGCCATGCGGGACTGCACACTGTATGCACAAGAAAGTAATGGGGCTGAGGAGGTAATTAACCCCCATTGTTAAATCCAGGAATCCCTTAATGATTCTGCCTTTGGATCTATGTGTCTTCAGCTGGCAGGAGACAAGAGAGACAGGCAGCTGAAGTAACTCGTGTCACTGGGACGCAGGATGTTGTCCGGTGGATGTTCTCAGCTGCCAACTCTCCGAACCCTTCTTTTTGCTCTCCCTGCAGGGATGCCAGATGAGCAGAGGGAGGGGCTGCAGGAAGAGCTGATTGACAGCATCCTGCAGGTCTTGCAGCGCAACCCACAGCTTCACTACTACCAAGGCTACCACGACATCGTGGTCACGTTTCTGCTTGTGGTTGGAGAGAGACTGGCAACGGCCCTCGTGGAAAAGCTTTCAACCCATCACCTCAGGTACTCTTGTCTGCGTTAGAGAGCACCCCTGGCTGCGGAGCCGGAAAGGAGTCATGGAGTGGGCTCCCGGGTTGCTGCGCAGTGGCGAATTCACATGGCGACCCACCTGGGTTCCAGGAATAGGTTAGCGGTGGCTGTTAGGTCCCTGCCGCAGAATGGTGCCTCTGCCTTTAACAAGGAGTGAGCCAGGAAGAAAAGTCCACACAGTGAAAACGAGGGTGCTCAAGTTGCTCCTTACCTTGGAACCCCCAAATTTCCAACTTTCTCTCTCTGAGCCAGGGGTCAGCAACCTTTTTCAGACCTTGGGTGGGGGGGTCGGACTATATTTTGAAAAGGGAAAAAAAGAAGGAATTCCTGTGCCCCACAAATAACCCAGAGATGCATTTTAAATGAAAGGACACATTCTACTCATGTAAAAACACACTGATTCCCGGACTGTCTGCGAGCCGGATTGAGAAGGCGATTGGGCTGCATCCGGCCCATGGGCCTTAGTTTGCCTACCCCTGCGGGATTTACATAGGAAGCTCCCTTATATTGAGTCAGACCATAGGTCTACCTAGCGTGGTGAATGCTCTCTATGCTTTCAGGCAGGGAACATGCCCAGCCTTATCCGCAAATGCCAGGAATTGAACCTGGGACTTTTTTGCATGCAAAACATGTTCTGTAACGCTAAGCTCTGGCCCTTGCCATTAAGTGTCTTTCCTGCCACAGTGGGTCCTAAAGCCTTTGTACTGTGCATCAGCCTCCCGCTAAGGGAGCTGGGGTTGGTTCTTGAGTGGAGCTGCCTAGTGCCTGTCTTCCTTTCCACTTCCCGTTGTTTGGGTTTGCAGCCTCCCAGTGAGGGTTAAACGTCCCCTACCTCCTGACTGTTAGCTTGCTCAGTTGGAGGAGGGACATGCAGGTCCTTCTGGAGAGGGAAGTCTAATCCCCCCACCCTCTTTGAACCACATTCTCTGCATGTCACCCAAGCTTATTAAAAAATTAAAGGGCGGGTTTCAACATTGTGCTATTACACACGTTCCATCTGTGCAAGCGTATTAGGTTGCCAGATGGAATGACTCCCCCTTCCCCCCGTTCTGGGGTTTCTGCCACCCACTCCAGGGCCAAAGGTAGGGTGGGCAAGGAGAAGGAAGCCCCACTGTGCAAGCGAAAGCCCTTACAGAGGGTTTCCACTGATGGGTTTGTTGGGTGAATCTCACCCAGAGATTCAACACCTCCTTCCTGCACTTCCACTGGGCGTCTGTAATAGAGATGGTTGAAACCCAAGTCCTTTGCTATAGACATTGCACCCTTCCTAGGACTGTGCTACCTAAAGTTCCCAGGAACTATTCTGCCCAGGAATCAACATTGTGTTGCTTTTGCTGTTGCTTCTTGATGTAGATTAGAAAACGTTCTGCTGCACTTTGATAAGGCGGTAGTAGCTCTGCCCAACTCAATGAAAAAGCGCAGTGGGGAAGGGACTGGAGAGCAGACTGGATGGATTAAAATCTTCTGGGTAGAAGTAAGAGGACATAATCTAATCTGATCTTATTGTAACTGCAATAGAAACAGAGTTGCAATACGCACAATAGAACAGTCTTAAAAGAGGACAAAGAAAAAATGTATTTCACTGCACTGTGGGATGGCAGGCTGCTGAATGCCTGATGCTTTGCTGCTGCTCTTTCCCAATTTCCATCCATTGTTATCTTGTTTGCAATGGGAGGGACTGGGCAGCTGTGAGAGTTAAATATTCCAGTCGCAAACAAAGCCAGGCCAGCCTCCTGCAGAGAAATCACTTTCACACCCTTTCTAAATACTAACTAGAAATTGAGGCAAAGGTTGAAGCAGTGTGTTAAATCTACAGACCTTGCTGGGAGAGAGGGTTGTTTCCCCCAGATTCTTTTCAGGACCAGCCCTTGCCAGGCTTTCCTGAAGCTAGCTTTTGCAGAAACGTTAGTGGCTAGTGGCAATGGCCAGTTTCTAGACCCACAGTCTGCTTTCAGTCTGTGTCGAAGCAATTGTGGCATTCACAGTGCACTAAGCCCCTTGTGAACATAGTTTTCTCAAGAACATAAAGTGTGTTGTTGTTTTCCAAAAGCAAGCCATGACTTTGGACCCATGCCTTCAGGGTTTCTGCATGTTTTTCTGCTGGAGTCCTGGTGACTTTCCTTTTCTGAAATAAAAAAATTGGACCTGCATGGTCCCTTGTGGTTCTCTGTTGCAACAGCCTCTCTTGTGTTCAAGTTTGTACACTTGCCAGCCGCTTACTGTGAGTGAGCCTCTGGTTGTTGGAACCAGAAAGTATCCCATCTCCTATTCCCACTTCCCGGGGCATTTGGGTATCTCTTGGCTTCTGGTCTGTTTTGCAACATTGGCTGTCTGTGATAAACAAGAGAGCATTTGCTTCACACTGCCTCATGCCTTGGCTGACCAGACTTGCTTTGCCTGGCAGGGATTTTATGGACCCGACAATGGACAACACCAAGCACATCTTAAACTACCTGATGCCCATTATAGACCAGGTGAATCCAGAATTGCACGACTTCATGCAGAGGTAGGTGGAATTGCTGCACATTCCTTTTTAATATATATATATATATATATATATATATATATATATATAATGCATGCAATTGAAGGTTAACTCTAGGAAGTCCTCCCTTACTGCTGCCTAGCATGACTGAGCAGTGACTTTTTCAGCGTCCCTCTCAAGAAGCAAAACTTGGAGAATTTGGTGATGCAGTTAGTGGCTTCTAGGCCTTCAGTGTCCATATTCTTTGGTATGCTCTGAGAAGTAGAATTGGAAGCGACCTTAAGGTGGGACATCCAAAAGCATTTCTGACCGGCAGACACCTGTTCAGTCTTGGCAACCTCCAAGGAAGAAGATGTCACAAGCTTCTTTTGATAGCTTGTCCCTTCCTGAATTGCTGCTGAATCCCATGCCATATCATGAGGAGAACAGCCATCCCAGCTGCAACTTGCAACCTGGGGGGAAGGGGGTTGAGCAAATGGGATGCTTTACCTTGACCCTTTTGTTTCTTTGTTCCTCTTCCTTTTTTGCACAGAGCTGAAGTGGGGACCATTTTTGCTCTCAGCTGGCTGATCACCTGGTTTGGACACGTGCTGTCTGACTTCAGACACGTTGTGCGGTTGTATGACTTCTTCCTGGCATGCCATCCGCTAATGCCAATCTACTTTGCAGCAGTGGTAGGTGTCGCTCACTTCAGCAGTGGAACATGAACCAAACCAGGCTGTGCTTTTTGCTTCCCGCCCCCTTTAAAATGATTTAAGGTGCACAGAGCTGCAAGAGACAGTTTTGCTGCTTAGTGGCTGCTTTGCCTTCAGCACAGAGTTCCAGTTGCAAACCTTCCATCAAGATAACAAGCTTGAGTCTGTAGCAGAGAGTATCTGATTCTCCTCCTTCCGTTAAGCTATAATAATAATAATTTCTTATTTATACCCCGCCCATCTGGCTGAGTTTCCCCAGCCACTCTGGGCGGCTCCCATTCGAGTGTTAAAAACAATACAGCATTAAATATTAAAAACTTCCCTAAACAGGGCTGCCTTCAGATGTCTTTTAAAGATAGGATAGCTGCTTATTTCCTTCACATCTGAAGGGAGGGTTTTCCACAGGGTGGGCGCCACTACCAAGAAGGCCCTCTGTCTGGTTCCCTGTAACCTCACTTCTCGCAGCGATGGAACCACCAGAAGGCCCTAGGCGCTGGATCTCAGTGTCCGGGCTGAACGATGGGGGTGGAGATGCTCCTTCAGATATACTGGGCCGAGGCCATTTAGGGCTTTCAAGGTCAGCACCAACACTTTGAATTGTGCCTGGAAACATACTGGGAGAGAATGAAGATCTCTCAGGACCGGTGTTATATGGTCCCGGCGGCCACTCCCAGTCACCAGTCTAGCTGCTGCATTCTGGATTAATTTCAGTTTCCAGGTCACCTTCAAAGGTAGCCCCACATAGAGTGCATTGCAGTAGTCCAAGCGGGAGATAACTAGAAACATATTATTATTACACTCTGTCACAAGAGACCAGGGCCCTGCAGGACTTGACATCTTTCCGCAGGGCCTGCAAGACAGAGCTGTTCCACCAAGCCTTTGGCCAGGGCACAGCCTGACTCCCTCCCTCGGCAATCTTCGCGGAGCTCTGGCCCAATGGTTGCCAGTGGCTTGAATTAATTAATTTTATAATGAATGATTTTAGAGTGTTGTTTGTGCTGTACTTTTGTACTGTTTTATTGTTGTTAGCCGCCCTGAGCCCGGCTTTGGCTGGGGAGGGCGGGATATAAATAAAATTTATTATTATTATTATTATTATTATTGTTATTGTTATTGTTATTGTTATTATTGTTATTACCATCATCATCATCAGTTTTGCTGTGCTTGGGCAGAGAAGTGCAGAGGAGTTTCACAGAAAATGTTGCCAGCAGTCCATACCATAGGGATGGGAAATACAGTGGTGCCCCGCAAGACGAATGCCTCGCAAGACGGAAAACCCGCTGGACGAAAGGGTTTTCCGTTTTTGAGTTGCTTCGCAGGACGAATTTCCCTATGGGCTTGCTTCGCAAGACGAAAATGTCTTGCGAGTCTTGAGATTTTTTTTTCGCTCCCCCCCCCCTTTATCTAAGCTGCTAAGCCTTTAATAGCCTTTTAGCAGCTAAGCCGATAAGCCGATAAGCCTTTAATAGCCGCTAAACCGCTAATAGCGCTAATCCATTAAGCCGCTAATAGGGTTGCTTCGCCAGATGAAAAAACCGCTAGACGAAGACACTCGCGGAACGGATTAATTTTGTCTTGCGAGGCACCACTGTATTCTGCATGTTGGAGAGCAAGGCTGCTGTTTGTCAGAGGACAATGGATCATTACTTGGGACCTATCCATAAAGTCAAGGGTGAGCTGCTGCTGCTGCTGCTGCTGTGGAACCATGCATGCTTGTGCTCTCTCTCTCTTTATCCTAGCAGCTCTCACATGCAGCAGCAGCACAAGGGCTGCATCTGGTGGTCTGGAGGAAATTTTGACTTGCCACAGTTCGTGGAATCATATAATTTTTAGGGTTGGAAGAGACCCCCAAGGGGCATCTAGTCCAACTCCCTGCAATGCAGCAAAATTGTAAGGGAGACACATGGACTGCATGTCACTTGCTACTTCCAAAGAAACCAAACTACAAACTGGGGCATACCCAAAGGGTTTAGAGTGGAACCCTCCTTGCAGCTGCTTTGGCAGGGACCTGTTCCCTTTTTTAAAAAAAAAATAATTGGAATTTTATTTACAACGTAACATAAACCCCCCGCCTCCCCAATACAGAAATCCACCCTCATTAAACGTGAACATAACATGCAATGAGCATAACATACAACAATACAAACAACAAAATAAAAGACTTCCTTTATCCTGTATCTGGCCTCCTTATTTACTTCTTATAAGCTGTTTCCTTTATGAATAATTATTAATATTTTTCTAATTATAACTTAAATATCCACAAAGTCTCCTGCAGACATTAATCGAAACAAGTCCAGGTATGTATTTTAGGGCACTGTTTTGTGAAGTATTCTCTGCATTTCCCCCATGCTCTTTGAAACTCTTGTCACACGAGATCACAGGTGGCAGGGACCTTTTGAACCCTTGGTGACGGTAGCCCTGTGACAGGGAAGTGTTGGCGCCGTGCGCCACCTAAGCTGAGTAATAATAATAATAATTTTTATTTATACCCCACCCTCCCCAGCCAAGGCTGGGCTCAGGGCGGCTAACAAGCAATAATAAAAACAAGTTGAATGAATACAACTTAAAAACAAGATTAAAATACAACATTAAATATTGAAACATTAAAATATTAAAATGCAGCCTCATCACAGGAGGAGAAAGGAAAAAGAAAGAGGGGGAGGGAATCAAATTGACTCCAAGCCAAAGGCCAGGCGGAACAACTCTGTCTTACAGGCCCTGCGGAAAGGAATCAGATCCTGCAGGGCCCTGGTCTCATGAGACAGAGCGTTTCACCAGGCCGGAGCCAGTGTTGAAAAGGCCTTGGCTCTGGTTGAAGCTAATCTAACTTCCTTAGGGCCCGGGACCTCTAGGGTGTTGCTATTTAAGGACCTTGAGGCTCTCCGTGGGGCATACCGGGAGAGGCGGTCCCGTAGGTACGAGGGTCCTAGGCCGTGAAGGGCTTTAAAGGTCAAAAGCAGCACCTTAAATCTGACCCTGTACTCCACCGGCAGCCAGTGCAGCTGGAAAAGCACTGGGTGAATATGCTCCCATGGCAGAGACCCCGTGAGGAGCCTCGCTTCAGCATTCTGCACCCATTGGAGTTTCTGGGACAGCTTCAAGGGCAGCCCCGCATAGAGCGAATTACAGTAGTCAAGCCTGGAGGTGACCGTCGCATGAATCACTGAGTTGCTGCTTGCTTCTCTGCAGATCGTGCTCCATCGCGCACCGGAGGTTCTCGCCTGTGAGTGTGACATGGCCTCCGTCCACCATCTTTTATCGCAGATCCCACAAGACCTTCCGTACGAGACCCTGATCAGTCGAGCTGGAGACCTCTTCGTTCAGTTTCCACCATCGGAACTTGCCCGGGAGGCTGCTCAGCAGCAAGCCGAAAGGTGGGTAATGACAGACTTTAGTTGGGGCGTTAGTGGAGATGTAGCGTTAGTGGAGATGGGGTCGTTTGTCCACCTTGGGTCCCCACCATGCGCTCCGCTCTCACATGAGGCTCCTAGAAGCTGTCAGGATGTGACAGCAGCCACACCCCGGGAACGGCTTTGACTGGCCGGCTAAACCAGGTGAGGGTAGCGGATGGATCTCAAACCCTCAGTGAGTTAGGGACTTCCCCTGCATGTGAAGACAGGCTCTGGTGGATTGGGCGAGACCAGTAGTGGGTCCAGCAGTCAAAAAGGCAGTTTCTGCACATCCTGGCCACACTACCAGCAGTACTGAGGAATTCAGAAAGAAGCAGAGATTTCTCCTCCATGTGCCAAAAAGGCAACCCACTCTCTGCCTTTAAAACTTCAGTTTGAGAAAAGTAGCTTGCCCTTTCAGCAGTTGAGTTTTCACTCCGTAGCTGCTTATGTCGTCTCCTGCAGCAGAAAAAAAGGAGCAAGAAACCCAAACAGCAGCCCTGAAAGATAAAGAGCGCGTGAGAGCTCCACTATCCTCTTCTGAGCATCTCAAATATCGGTTGTCCCTTTTGCCTGTTGTGTAAGATAAGGTCACTCAAGGTTTCTACAAGTGCTGTCTCCTGGCTCTGATAACAGCTGCAGGCCGGTTTGATCGCCTGCTGGCCATGGGTCTCAGATGTTGCCTGTGTAGACAGAATGGGGCTGGCTGCTTGTTTCTAGGTGTCCATGTGAGTTCAGCAAGCAAGGTCATTTCAGGAGTTCAGGCAACTCTGATCTGCTCTTCCATTCCCTCGTCTGAGGTGGACTGATCCCAAGGAAGTGAGCTTCCTGCCCATATCCTTTTAAGAGAACCAAACTTGAGAATTTTAACTTGTGTTAAAGTTGCTAGTTTCCAAGATCCGGAAAACAAAACTTAACTTCGGGGGTGCTTTCCACATTTATTGTGATACCCTGAACCAGTGTGGTGTAGTGGTTAAGAACGGTAGACTCGTAATCTGGGGAACCAGGTTCGTGTCTCCGCTCCTCCACATGCAGCTGCTGGGTGACCTTGGGCCAGTCACACTTCTCTGAAGTCTCTCAGCCCCACTCACCTCACAGAGTGTTTGTTGTGGAGGAGGAAGAGAAAGGAGAATGTTAGCTGCTTTGAGACTCCTTCGTGCAGTGATAAAGCAGGATATCAAATCCAAACTCCTCCTTCTCCACAGCAGGAGAACCATATCCTGCCTGGCTGGCTGCCTGGAATGACATGCCCTGCGTCTGTTTTCTTCTCCCCCTACAGGACGGCTGCTTCCACCTTCAAAGACTTTGAGCTGGCTTCGGCCCAGCAGCGGCCCGACACGGTTCTCCGGCAGCGCTTCAGGGAGCGGCTCCGCGCGGAGGAGCGGGCAAAGTTGCTCTTGGCAACGAAACCAAGGACCAACCGCTTTGTCAAGCTGGCAGTCATGGGGCTGACGGTGGCGCTGGGCGCGGCAGCTTTGGCTGTGGTGAAGAGCGCGCTCGAGTGGGCACCCAAATTCGAACTCCAGATATTCCCCTGAGAGTCGAGGAGGAAGTTCCCAGCTTACCGTGTCCTGCTTGGTGCACCAGGCATAGGCAGCCATGTCTGCAGAAGGCAAATTGGGTTTTTGAAGCCCCTGCTCTCTTTCCTGGCCCCCTCCTGCAACCTGCCTTACTAATTCAAGCCACCCAGGCCTGGACCTGCAGTCATCCTGTTCTCACCTCCTCTTCGTCATCCTCCCTGAGCAGCCAGAGCCTCTGGGGAACCTTTTCCTTTCGGAACAAGGGAAGTGGCTGCCTTGGCTGCTACAAGGCTAAAGAACCTCATTTTTTGCTGTGCTTCCTGCCCTGTTCGTGGGCCTGTGGCCTGTGTAGCGCTTGAGAGAAGTTCCATTCTTCCCTCCTGGTGTTTGGCAAAATGGGAGAGAAGGAAACAGAAGAATATTTTCAGGGACGGTGCTGGTTCTGCAATATTAACTGAGATGGGGTGAGGGGAGATGAGTCTGGGCCCAACCGTTCAGAGGTGTCCTCCCCTCCTTTCCCTCTCACCTATTTAGTTGCCTGCATTCCTAGATGTGGAAGTGAAGAGGCAGTTTCCGACAAGTCAAAACACTGGGAATCTGCTTGTTTTGGCTTTTGAGGTTTGCAGCAGATTGACTCACGTTATCTCTCTTGACTGCGAAGCCTGCAGCAGGAGTTGCAAGCATATGAACATGTTTCATCTTGGAGACCGTGTAGCTGTCACCCAGCCACCCACAGCACAGCTATTTCTCTCAGCCAGGCCCGAGTAGGAAATTCTGCATCTGGCGCATGAGGAGTTACTCCTTGGAACATGGTCCATTATGGCTTTCAGAGTTATTTCTGTTGCTGCCATCTTGCAAAATCAATAGCAGCAGTTTCCGTTAATGATCTTTCCGTTAAGGGAGAGATCTTCCTGTTGTGAAATTTCGCCCTGTTGCAGGACCAACGTAGTTGATGTGGAAAGAAAAGTGCTTTAAAAGATCTGTGCCACTAACAGAAATAGACGTATTGTCATGCACGAAGGGTTTTCCAGAAACTGTCCACTCAATCCAAAGTCCCAGGCACTCCATCGATAAACCCCCATGCACCTCTACCTCCTTCCTCTGCTAATAAACCCTCACAAGTGTCCTTACCTAATTTACACAGCTGAGTCCTTTTTCCCTGATGGCAATTATGTATTCAGTCACCTGTAAAACTACCTTCTCAGTCGGCCAAGCATTACTGTGGAGGGCGAAGGAAAGTCAAAACCAAGGACCCAACTGCTTGGTCAAACTGGCAGCCCTGAGGCTGATGGTAATGCTGCGTTCGCCAACTTTGTCGCATTGGAGCGGACAGCAGAGCACTTGGGACCTGCGGCCTTTTGCGATCTGCTGCAATGAACTCATTCCAACAGCGACGGAAGCCCAAGTTGCTCCCTCTACCCTGGAAGATGAGCAGACTTGGCCATTCAAAAGGAGCAGCTCCCAGAGGACGCCACAGTGCCTGGAGCCCTTAACGACACGGTAGCAAGGCCTAGAGCTAACCAGTGCATGCATTTGTTTTGCTTTTAAGAGTGCTGGATTCTGCTGTGCATTGGGATTTGCAGTCACCGGAAAGACAGGGGGCAGAAAAACAGAGAGACCTCCTTTTCCCTGGTTTGCCTGCTGGGAATATCTTCTCACCAAGCCAAGAACTGACCCCGGAAGGACACATTGCTGCCTCTCTATTTGGAATGTGCTTCCTGCAACCAAGTCATTCAGCTATTGGTGTCTTTTGGGGGGAGCTTTTCTTCTCCAGTGGGGCAGTGCCGTTTAGCTTTGGTGGGAGGCAGATCAACCTGCCACCCATTGGTTGTGGGCCTTGTGGTATCAGGAAGCCGTGGGCGTGGGGATACCAGCATGTCCCACGAGCAACAGTGAAAAGCAGGGAGGTGAAAGTGGCATCTTAGTCCCCGGTACCCAATGCAGTGCTCTCCAGATGTTAAACTACAGCTCCCATCATCCCTGAGGAAGTTGGGAGTGCAATACCTGAAATATCCACATTGGCCACGCCTTTCTCAAGTGGCCACAGTGTGGATCGTAGCGTTCCTCTGGAAGAGCAGGGGCTTGAATGATTGACACCTGCCGCAAGGGCTGGGGCTTTTCGTTACCGGATGGTGTGGGATGGAAGAAACACGTGAAGCATTATTTTACTAAGCACTTTATGAAAATCAAGGCTAAAAGAGGAAGACTTAGAAGGAGGCCTAACTATCCCTTGTGGGTTTTCTTCTTGCCTTAGCAGAAAATGGTTTCCTAGCAGGTTCAGACACTTTCCATTTGAGGTATATATGAGACCTATGGAAGCTGCATCTGCAGCCTGACCGAGGCTGGATGCAGCCTTGGCCTGAAGCTATTCCATGTTATTCAGGCAGCAGAATGCAGAAAAAGGTTTAAGACAGACACCCTCTTCCCTCTGCTCCTTGTGGCAATGATGGGCTGACTTCTGGTTTATTAAAATGGAAGAGTCATTTCCTCCCTCACAAGATCTACCACCAGATATAGATATGTATTAAAACCTCCAAATTTCAGCAGGTCTAGAATCTGCGGAAACGAAACTTCGTGCAGCGGTGGCGAGGGGAAGCTTTGTTTCATGATCAGCATTCACCAGCTTTTTAAGCTGAAAGCACACAAAACCAGCTGATTACAATTAGCGGAATCTGCTAGTAAAGTGAGACTGCAGGATTTCAGGTTTGAATGCTCTCATATGCGAGATAATATTCTCTGTGTGTTGAAAACTAGCCTGTTGGGGAAAGGGTTCAGCCTAGTTTCTTTCCCCGCCCCCATGTGTTTTTTTTCTGCCTGCGGGGAGGACATCACCACCGCCTGAAGCCTGGAGTGATAACTGTAAGGCAAGCTTTGCCATTGATTTAGCTGAAAGTATAAACTGACCCTTATTATCCCACAGGGAAGAGCAGTACAAGTGAGCGCAAACATTTTGCTCTCCATTGACTGCAATGAAGGGAGAAGCTCATGCATCAAGAATAAACCACATGGAAGACCATCGTGTGTGAAGCCATGGGAGGTGGGACTAAACTGTTATCTCCATCCTTTTAGCTGTGCAGAGACAAGAGTTAAGCCCCAGGCTGTCTCTTCCCTCTGCTGTTCATTGCTGCAGGCTGGTGAATTTGACAGCCACATAACTCTGCCTTTGTGTCTCCTGCAAAGTCGCTGACTCTGCTTGCGGTAACTGTTGGAACTCGTGCCGAAGCAGGTGGCCACCATGAATGCATTTGGTGACACGCTACAGTTTTGCCAGGTTCCCTAAAGCAGATTGTCCCTTGGACTTTGGGGACTGAACCATTACTGTAGCCTGCCTGCTAACACTAGGAAACCACTGAGCAGCCTGTTGCATTTTGCAACTAGCCAGGGTTGTAGGGCGGCCTGCTGGTCTACGCAGTTGCAGACCAGTAGCAAAACCAGGTGGTTTAAGTGACACCCAGCTGGACCACTTTGCATAGACTAGCAGGCTACCTTTGTTGGTGCTCATTCACGACTCGTGCAGGCCTCGCTGTTGCCAACCCGCAATAGATACGGCAACAGGTGTGTCAAAAAAAGGAGCACTTTCTGAAGGAGAGAGGCAGCTGGAAGAAGAAACGGCTGCTGCCGTTAGAAGCTGCAACGGCAGACGTCCTGGGTCAAAATCATGGCCAGGGAGATGCCCGCCAACTCTAAGCCACCTTCCGTGGGGAAATCGGTTGTTTCTTTCCTCATGCATAAGCGTTCTCTGATGAAGTTGCTACTCTGTATAAAGATTATACATATGTATGTAAAATGCAGATTTGTACAAGGCTTGTAATTGTGTAAAAAAAATACCCCGACAACCAAATAAACACTATACCTACTTACTAAACAGATGCGTTTGCAGCACTGCGTTTTCCTCCTCTTCCCAGACCCAGTTTGACTCGTTTTAGCTGCTTGCTAGTCTCTGGTATATGGGACATGGGTTAAACCACAGAGCCTAGGACTTGCCGATCAGAAGGTCGGCGGTTCGAATCCCCGTGCAGACGGGGTGAGCTCCCGTTGCTCGGTCCCTGCTCCTGCCAACCTAGCAGTTTGAAAGCATGTCAAAGTGCAAGTAGATAAATGGGTACCGCTCTGGCGGGAAGGTAAACGGTGTTTCTGTGCGCTGTTCTGGTTCACCAGAAGCGGCTTAGTCATGCTGGCCACATGACCCAGAAGCTGTCTGTGGACAAATGCCAGCTCCCTCGACCAATAAAGCAAGATGAGCGCCGCAACCCCAGAGTCGGCTACGACTGGACCTAATGGTCAGGGGTCCCTTTACCTTTAGTCTCTGGTATGTAATACCAGTTCCTGGGGAGAGCACTGTTGTCCCCTCTGAGCTTCCTTTATGCATCTGTTCAGTCACCACGAGAACACGATTCTGAATTAGGGGAGTCTCCTTTGGCCTGATCCCACAGGCGGCGTTCTCCCAATGAGCTTGTTTGAAACGGCTTCTGCATGTGACGGAACAAGTCATCTGCTTTTCATGGGATTGACCCCGCTATGTATAATAAGGCTGCCCTAAGCAGCAGCTGCTTTGAACAATCTCTGCCTGGAGGCAGGCCTACGTGGATTAGCCCTCCCTGCTTTTTTAAAAGTATGCTATCCCTTTTCTAGCAGCAGCCGGTCAGATGCCTTAAATATTCCACCTTCAGTCAACGGGATCCACTGCTTGTCTGACTCACATGATGTTTCAGAATTATTTCAGACAAGCAAAAGGTTTTTCAAAGCTGGTAAGGCCGGAGAGAAAGATCTGGAATGTGATCATCCTGCCCACACAAAGGTGGTCTTTCAAAAATAGCTATTTTAGAACAGCGCTGATGGGAGCACTTCAGCTTTTCTTTCCAGGTTTGCAGTCAAAGGTTTTTAAATTGCCCCAGACCAAACACTTACATAGCTGCGAGTCAGCAGATGCAAGACAAGGTTGACTGGTGGGTGCATTTTAACACCTTATCTCCTAGCAGTTTCTTATTTTATGAAACAAATGAAAGAGAAACGAAATACTCCAATTCCCCAAACCCAGAGCAAAAAGAAAACCTTTTGTGTTTGAAATCAATCCAGCCGCCTTCTTTTTTAATTTAATTTTGCACCTGCCTTAATTCTGCGCCCCCGGTTGGCGCCTCTGGCAATGGCGGATTTCCTCTGATCGGGAGGAATCCGCTCCGTGGAAAACAGGATCTGAACCGCCACGGCGAGGCGGAGACCCATCAAAAACCACAGGCGGGAGAAGCCTGTGGACGTGGAATTCGGCTATCACCTTTGCGCGCCCCCCTACTCACGGGGAAACCCTGTTTTGGGGATCCGGAGCGACGTGGGGTGAGTGGCGCGGTGCTTTGAATCGACTGCTTCTTTCACGGAGTGAAGCCGCATTGCTGTTGCCGGAGAGCGCTGACTTTTTCCTGTGGACAATTGGATTTTAAATAACTGCCCGTGAGTAGAACGGAAAATTGGACTATGAAATTTCTTAATTAGGCACCGAAAGCGGGAAGGTCTAAACAGGAAGTCCGCCTTCCGCTTTTGTAGATAGATTGAAGCAAAGACACGGCAAGCTAGAGTTTAGAAAGTCGTGTGTAAAGGATTAAATTTTCATCATTTAAAATTACTGAACCCCCCTTGGAAGCAGGAGAAGAGGGGGGAACCTTTTTTAGACTGTTTAAACCTGCAGAAGAGAGAGTAAAGAAAGGTAATTTTCCACCGTCTTGAACCTGGGAGCGGGGTGTCAGGACAGACGTTTTGGGGAAGTTCATTGACTATGGACAAACGTTTTTGACAGATAGTTAAAAGAAGAGAAACATATTGACTCCATTGTTCCCTTTCGCATTTAAAAGGAACAAAATATCGACAAAATATCCGAAAAAGGAAAACTTTGTTGCTAGATCTGCTTTTTTTAAAAAAAAAAAGATGGATACAAATAGAAATTGTTTCCCCTAGAGGGAGCTTGTGAAACTGTTATTAAAGTCGAACTGGGGAGCTTTGCAGCTGTAAAGATTAAAGATCGTGGGACCAGACTTCGACCTTGAACAAGAATGTGCTCAGAGGCTCTGGTGCTTGCCTTTTGCAAGACAAGTGCTTTATTGGAACAGTTACATGAGAAGATGGATTTGATGACTGTTGCGATCGGAAATTTTGGACAGGCAATGGGTACCTATATAGAACCCACTCAGGAATTAATCCAGGAATGTGCTTCGACAGACCAGATGAGGGAGGAGGTTGTTGCTGGACCTCGGGTGGCAGAGATGGAGGGAGCTGTGGCCCAGCAGGAACATGAGTTGGTGGATTTGACGAATGAACCTGGAAAAAGTCAGATTTGGAGAGATGGAGTTCTGTTTGGCTTGGAGATGGGGGGCTGGATGGACTCCCCTATGCAGGGATGTTTTGACCTTTCAAGTCTGGCTTTGGGCCGGGGGGAGCTCGGAGTTGTGGGGGCCCTTAACTTTGGAGGGACCTTGAAACATGCCTTTAAATACCACATGGATTTCAGTGTTGACTATGGAAAAGGGGCTGACTTGTCGAGAAGGGACAAAAATATTGTCAAGCTGGAGTCTACCCGAGTGAAAGGAGCAGAAGACAAAGTAAAGTACAGGTATAAACATGAAGAAGACCTGCGGAAGGGACATGGAAAAGACTTAAGAGCCTCGGATATAAGGTCACCAGGTTGATGGACTAGATGGATGGGATAGAAAGGACTGACAAAACCCGAGACCAGGAAGAAGAGACGATGGATGAAGATTGGAAGAAAGTCTTAAAAATTTATTTAGAAAAGTAATGTAAAATTAATGAGCATTAGGAAAATGTTGGAATGAAATTATTTGGCTTTAGCAGAAATGTTAAAAAGAATTATGTAAGAATATGTTATGGTTAAAAGAATTTGGTATAAATAAGATTTAAGTTTTAAGTTTTAGGGTTTTTTATGGTAAGATAAGGTTAAAATAGATTAAGGTAATTTAATGACAGAATATTGTGAAAGATGGAAAGGATTTGCTGAGATAATTAACAACTAGAATACAAAAAAGGGAGGTGTGAGGAGGTCGATGAAATAAGTTAATGAAAGTTAAGGATTTGGGAATATTGGATTTGTTTTTAAATTTTTTGTTTATTTTTGCTTTTTGATTTTGATGCATTGTGCGTTTTGTTTTTTCTTTTTGACTCTGGTTTTTATTGATTTGTATTGTTTAATTGTTACTTTTATCTACTTTTTTCTTTCTTTTTCTCTTTCTCTTGTTTTTTCCTTCTTTTTTCTTTGTAACCTTAAAATTCTCAATACGTATCATTAAAAAAAAAAAAGACAGTGGGGAAAAAAAATTCTGCGCCCCCCAGGATGGATGATAAGAATCCATTTTATGCTTTTATCAAGCCTGTGAACTAAGTTAGGCTGAAGGAATCTGGGAACACGGGACTGCTAAACCCCAAATACAAAGCCTCACTAACCTGGTCCTGAGCAATACAAATTAAGTTACTATTGCAGCTCAACTACCTGCAGAAAGAAACACAGCAACAGGTTTATAAATAACTTTTATTAGAGCAAATCAAGTAAATATTGTACACAAAACCCAGCGTATTTCGTAGTGGAACTCAGTGCCAACAAGCCTGGTTCTAATGCACCGTAGGGCACCGCCCCATCTGGGATAGGGGTCAAAGCTTAGCTAAGCACCTGCAGCTTGGCAAGAAAGGCCTCTGCTCCAGGATGCAGAATGTAATGCTGCCATAGGGAAGGGAAGCAGGAAAAACTGGTTGTAGAGAAAGGAGCAAAAACAGCGTCTCTCCACGGACATTGCAAGAAGCCTGTCTGCACGAGGACTGCAATAAGAAGTCCAGCCTGCCCTCGAACCCAGTAAGAGGCCAGCATTTCCACCCAATCCTTTTGCCCAGCCCTCACATGTATGGGAAGTAAGTTGCCTTCTCTATGGCGCATGAGCTGAGCCTGTGTGTCTTGACCTTCGCTGTGCCAGAGCCATTCCAACAGCCCAGGCTGTCCCTGAGCTCAGCTTGACGTTCGCTCCGGACTTCCATTCCCCTGAAGCGAGACAGCCTCTTCTTCCAGAAGTTCAGAGTTCTCCTCTCCTCTAGTTTAATGGCAGTTCTGACAGTTGGGGTGGCAGGGGGCTCCGTTCAGCTTGCAGCGGCAGCCCCCGCTGGTATCGCCAGAACCCTGCGGGGGGGAGGAGGAGAAGACAGAAAGCAATGAAACAGAGGGCAGACGGCGGGTACATAAGGAAGAGATTATCTCACAGGGTTGGAGACGGAGGATGCCATGGGAGGGTCCTGATGAGAGTGCAAGGACAATGTAGGTCTTCCTGTACAGGAAAGGTCAGGGTCCGAAAACAAAGCGGGTCAGGAAATTGCCAGACAGGAAAACGGGGAGAGACGGGAGGAAACCTCCTGTAGGATTGCTACTTTTGAAATTGTCCTTCACGCGATTATGTGGGAAATTGCTTCCTTCGAAGTTAAAAAAAAAACCCCTACTTATTTGTGCATTGTCACCCTGTAGTCAATACAGTGGTACCTCTGGTTGCAAATGGGATCCGTTCCGGAGGCCCACTTGCAACCTGAAAAGAACGCAACCCGAGTCTGCAGGTCATGATTCGCCACTTCTGCGCATGCGCGTGATGTTATTTTGCTCGTCTGCGCATGTGCAAGCGGCGAAACCCGGAAGTAACCCATTCTGTTACTTCTGGGTCGTCGTGGGATGCAACCTGAAAGCGTGCAACCTGAATCAAATGTAACATGAGGTATGACTATATTCTAGTTTTCCATCTGGATTCTCTTGTTTGGGTCGGGGAAAGTAGGAAAGAAGGAATGAAGGGCTCTAGCTCAGTAGAGCACATTGGGATGCAGTGACTTCTGCTATTACTGCACTGCAAGAGGCTTGCACATCTTGACATCTTGGATATGCTTCATGCAACAGTTCTGCACACCAGAGCAGTTCCAAAACTCTTTGGGTTCAAAGGTGAACACAGCAGGCCTCATCGTACGCGAGACCAGAAGCAGTTCCCAGCCACACAGTTCTCTCAAAAGACACCTGATTACATCCCTTGTGCTAGGGTGGCTGGACAGGATTCTTGGTCTGCAACATCAGGGCTGTAGAACAGCCCTGGGCCCATCGCCTGCCATCTCCTCTCATTAACTGGAAGTTTCCTATCTCAGCTTTCTCACACCTGCACAATCAAGACACACACAGAAGCCCTGGACCCGAAAAGACGGAAGACTATGGAATTAGGGCATGCCATTTCAGGGTGAAACTTAAATGTTTGCAAATTGCTTCAGTGCAAAATATGTTTGAGGAATTCAAATTTGTTATTGTTTTTGAGACTGGACAACGGTTAGTGTGGTAAACCCATGTATGATATAAAGCACATAAGCTGCTCTTGGAAAACCAAAGGATTTCAATTTTACCTTCTGAAAGTATGTCACCTAGCCCAACTCCCATGCAAGGCAATAACTCCTTGCAATGCTTATTGAAGGTATCTGATTGGCCACTGTGGGTACTAGATGCTAGACTAGGCTGGACTTTTTGTCCGATCCAGTAGAATTTGTCTTACATTCTTACAAAGCTTGGATTGGAGCGGCCGCCAAGACCACATAACACCAGCCTTGAAAGACCTACATTGGCTCCCAGTACGTTTCCAAGCACAATTCAAAGTGTTGGTGCTGACCTTTAAAGCCCTAAACGGCCTCGGTCCTGTATACCTGAAGGAGCGTCTCCACCCCCATCGTTCTGCCCGGACACTGAGGTCCAGCTCCGAGGGCCTTCTGGCGGGTCCCTCACTCTGAGAAGCCAAGTTACAGGGAACCAGGCAGAGGGCCTTCTCGGTGGTGGCGCCCACCCTGTGGAATGCCCTCCCATCAGTTGTGAAGGAGATAAACAACTATTGGACTTTTAGAAGACATCTGAAGGCAGCCCCGTTTAGGGAAGTTTTTAATGACTGATGTTTTAATGTATTTTTAACTTTCTGTTGGAAGCCACCCAGAGTGGCTGGGGAAACCTAGCCAGATGGGTGGGTTGAAATAATAATAATAATAATAATAATAATAATAATAATAATAATAAAAATAATACAGTCATACCTCGGGTTACAGACGCTTCTGGCTGCGTTTTTTCAGGTTGCGGACTGCTGAAACCTGGAAGTATCGGAACAGGTTACTTCCGGGTTTTGGCAGTCGCGCATGCACAGAAGTGCTAAATCACGCTTTGCGTATAAGCGCCAAATCGCAACCCGCAGGTGCACAGGCGCGGGTTGCGAACGCTGTGGGTTGCGAACGTGCATCCCGCACGGATCACGTTCGCAACCTGAGCGTCCACTGTAATATTTTTCTTATTCTTATTATTATTAAGCTTCAACAGCCAACCCATTTCTTGGGAAGGGTTTATCTGTTGCAACACCTTCAGCTCTGCTTTTGCATCCTGCAAGTCCTCACTACGGTCCTCAGCACCTAAACAACCAGATGTTGTAGTCCAAGTGTTTTGGACTACAATTCCCATCAGCCCCAACCGGCATGCGCAAAGGTTGACGACGACTGCGGTTGAGGTTCCTGGTGTCGCACAGCCCATGCCCATCCAAGCAGATGGAATCTTTCAAAGCCAATCCGTGAATGTGTTGGGCGTCTTAAAGGACCCCAGAGCCCACTACACACCGTTTGAAGAGAATCTTGAAGGTCCCAGGCCACAGGGAGGTTGGGCTGGCCTCAACCAGAGCCAGGGCTTTTTCGGCCGTGGCCCCGATCTGGTGGAACGCTCTGTCACAAGAGACCAGGGCCCTGCAGGACTTGACATCTTTCCGCAGGGCCTGCAAGACAGAGCTGTTCCACCAGGCCTTTGGCCAGGGCACAGCCTGACTCCCTCCCTCGGCAATCTTCGCGGAGCTCTGGCCCAATGGTTGCCAGTGGCTTGAATTAATTAAATTTATAATGAATGATTTTAGAGTGTTGTTTGTGTTGTACTTTTGTACTGTTTTATTGTTGTTAGCCGCCCTGAGCCCGGCTTCGGCTGGGGAGGGCGGGATATAAATAAAATTTATTATTATTATTATTATTATTAGAATCCGCTCTCTGCCGCGCGCTTGATCAACACATACCGCAGGCCCCCACCGCGGCCCTTTAGTCACCCAGCAGATCTCTGTGTGGCAGACAGTGCATCGGATCCAGTCGCAGCCGTCTTTCTTCTGCACGATAATCTTGCATGTGGGACAGTGCATAGCCTCTCCTTTCTGAACCATGTTCTGAAAGAGAAAGCATGTTTAGGTTTGCCTCTTCCAACAGAGAGGGCAGGGGCAGGGGCAAGGGGGTGATGGCAGGTCATTGCATGGTGCAGATTGTGCCAGAACTAGACTATTCACTCCCCCAGGGTGGGTGGTTGTTGCATGGATGGGTCTAGAAATAATAATAATAATAAAAAATTTTATTTATACCCCGCCTTCCCCAGCCAAGACCGGGCTCAGGGCGGCTAACACCAGGTAAAAAACAATTGATTAAAATACAACTTAAAAACAAGATTAAAATGCAACATTAAAATGAAGTCTTATTTCAGTAGAAACGCAAAAACTTTTGGGGATGAAAACGTCAAATCTTCACCAAGGCCAACTATCCAGACTGGTCCTACGTGGGCCAGAAAAAAGACAGGGAAGTCCCCAAATAGGAGCTCCATCACAGGAAGAGAAAGGAAAAAAGAAAGAAAGAGGGGGAGGGAATCAAGTTGATTCCAAGCCAAAGGCCAGGCGGAACAACTCTGTCTTACAGGCCCTGCGGAAAAAAATCAGACCCCGCAGGGCCCTGGTTTCATGAGTCAGAGCGTTCCACCAGGCCGGGGCCAGTGTTGAAAAGGCCCTGCTCTGGTTGAGGCTAATCTGACTTCCTTAGGGCCTGGGACCTCTAGAGTGTTGCTATTTGTGGACCTTAAGGTGCTCCGTGGGGCATAGAAATCCCCAAACTCTTCCAAAACTATATGTACATGCTACAAATCAGCTGGGATCAGCATTCATGTGCAAACCAGATCACCAGACTTTCCCCCCCACTGACAGGTGATGGAGTCGTGTTGATGTCCGGGCCCAATTCAAGGGGCTTATGTTTTTAAGGCCCTGAGCAACTTTGCCCCCCAAATATCCAAAGGTGTCTCCATCACTACAGACTTCTCAGATGTTAAGCTACATGGGTGGTGGAGGGGCTCTCTTAGTCATCCAGCCCCTCTCAGAAGGGACAGGCTGGGACAGAGCCTTCTCTGCAGCAGCCCCTAAGTTGTGGAACTCCCTCGCCGGGGAGGCGCCCTGAGCCCCTACACAGCTTTTGCCATACAGTGATGCCAGACACTCTTTACTTTGCCCTTTGACAACTGAGGGGGTTTGTGGGACCCACCTCTTTCGCTGATTTTATACTGCCCTGTTCCGTTTTGAACGGTTTTGAATGTTTGATAGCTGCAATGGTTTTATCTGGGGGGCTTTTTTGGAATTGTATATTCTACTGTTGGAACCCATCCTGGGTGGGTAGGAAATCTTATGAATAAATGAATGAATGAATACGATAAGCTGATCTACTGATTCGTGTTATATATGTGTGTGTGTGTGTGTGTGTGTGTGTGTGTGTATAAAATAAATACATTTATGAGAAAACAGATGTACATACAAGTAAACAAACAAACAAACAAATAACGGAAAAATCAAACAAACCACCACACTATAAGATACAAGAAGATTAATATAATTATCATCATACAGTGGTACCTCGGGTTACATTCACTTCAGGTTACATACGTTTCAGGTTACAGACTCCGCTAACCCAGAAACAGTGCTTCAGGTTAAGAACTTTGCTTCAGGATGAGAACAGAAATCGTGCTCCGGTGGAGCGGCAACAGCAGGAGGCCCCATTAGCTAAAGTGGTGCTTCAGGTTAAGAACAAGTTTCAGGTTAAGTACGGACCTCCGGAACGAATTAAGTACTTAACCCGAGGTACCACTGTATATACTCCTGATACTGAACACAATTATAAAACTTATAGAGAAGAAATTTAAAACTGACTTCCAATTAATCTCACCGTACTTTAAGATTCACGATACATTTTTGCATGCGTTTCGTGAATTTTTCATTGCGACTTTGTGCTGTTTACCACCCTGATGTTTTTTTCCTTAAAGTTGGAGCTGCCAACATTTTTTGCAGGTAAAATGTACAAGCCAACTGCTCTCTTTCCCAGCTACTTCATGAACCAGGGGGTGGAGGACTGCTAATATACTGTGTGGGCCTGAACTTGGGGGGCGGGGTGACCCTCTTCCTCCCCCTTTCAGAGCCCCTCAGCCACCCCTTCTCACCAGCAACATCTGTGTGGTCTGCTGCGCAGCCTGGTCATTCTGAGCTCGGATCTGGAGATCATCCTGATACTCTTTGCAGTTCATGTTTTCGTGAATAGCCTGCAGATGAGACATGTGGTTTGGATCCTGACTTCCAGTCTCCTTCCCCCAAATGGTTAGCAAACACTCGTAGGGTGCCCCATAAATGATGTCATGTACCCAATAGTCTCTTATCAAGCCAACCTAGGCATACGCTGAAAATGGCAGATTCCAGATACCACCAATGGGCAGGAAATGGTCAATTGTTCTATTTTTGTTCTAAAGGTAAAGGTAAAGGGACCCCTGACCATTAGGTCCAGTTGTGGCTGACTCTGGGGTTGCGGCGCTCATCTCGCTTTACTGGCTGAGGGAGCCGGTGTACAGCTTCCGGGTCATGTGGCCAGCATGACTAAGCCACTTCTGGCAAACCAGAGCAGCGCACGGAAACGCCGTTTACCTTCCTGCCAGAGTGGTACCTATTTATCTACTTGCACTTTGATGTGCTTTCGAACTGCTAGGTTGGCAGGATCAGGGACTGAGCAACGGGAGCTCACCCTGTCGCGGGGATTCAAACCACCGACCTTCAGATCGGCAAGTCCTAGGCTCTGTGGTTTAACCCACAGTGCCACCCGCGTCCCCGTATTTTTGTTCTAGGAAGGGTCTTATCTGAATATTCTACCCCAAATACCAATATCCATCCGGGGCCCACTTGGCTCTTCAGCACTGAAAATTACTGGTAATTATTTTTCTTACACACTTCAAGCTGACATCTACACCCATTCCCATTCTGTCTTGCACTCTACATCTTAGAAATGTAGAGATGGAAGGGACCCCAAGGGTCATCTAGTTCAACCCCCTGCAATGCAGGAATCTCAACTAAAGCATCTTCACCAGCATGCACAATCCCTACTTCACCCATAAAGAAGTATTTAGAAGAGTTTGAACTACCTGTATTCAGAGATACAGGTAAAAGTGAGGAACCCCTTTGACCCAACAGGCCTCCCCATTTGGGCTGCAAGGCTGTTGTTTTTACCTAAATCCTGCCCACTTGGCCTTATACCTGACAGCAAATGACATCAGGTGTGGCACCAGAAAAAAATAAGACACAGCCCTGTGGCTTTCAAGGTGCCAACAATCAGCTGATAGCTGGGACTAGCAAACCCCTTACCTGACTGAAGGCATGCAAAGGAGCTCATTGTAACCACCGATCAGGCGGCGAGTGGCTGCTCCAAGCTCTTCTGAACATGCTTGTCCAGCAAAGGTTTGCAGCGCCCACAATCAGCTGACTGTTAGTGCTTGCAAAGGCGGCCAACAGATTGAGGTTGAATCCTGACAAGACAGAAGTTCTATTCTTGGGGGACAGGAGGCGGGCAGGTGTGGAGGACTCCCTGGTCCTGAATGGGGTAACTGTGCCCCTGAAGGACCAGGTGCGCAGCCTGGGAGTCATTTTGGACTCACAGCTGTCCATGGAGGTGCAGGTCAATTCTGTGTCCAGGGCAACTATTTACCAGCTCCATCTACTACGCAGGATGAGACCCTACCTGCCCGCGGACTGTCTCGCCAGAGTGGTGCATGCTCTGGTTATCTCCCGCTTGGACTACTGCAATGTGCTCTACGTGGGGCTATCTTTGAAGGTGACCCGGAAACTACAACTAATCCCGAATGCGGCAGCCAGACTGGGAGTGGCCGCCAAGACACTGGTCTTGAAAGACCTACACTGGCTCCCAGTACGTTTCCAAGCACAATTCAAAGTGTTGGTGCCAACCTTTAAAGCCCTAAACGGCTTCGGCCCAGTATACCTGAAGGAGCGTCTCGACCTCCATCGTTCTGCCAGGACACTGAGGTCCAGTGCCAAGGGCCTTCTGGTAGTTCCCTCCCTGCGAGAAACCAGGTTACAGGGAACCAGGCAGAGGGCCTTCTCGGTAGTGGCACCCGCCCTGTGGAACGCCCTCCCACCAGATGTCAAAGGGAAAAACAACTAGCAGACTTTCAGAAGACATCTGAAGGCAGCCCTGTTTAGGGAAGCTTTTAATGTTTAATAGACTATTGTATTTTAATATTCTGTTGGAAGCCGCCCAGATTGGCTGGGGAAACCCAGCCAGATGGGCGGGGTATAAATAAATTATTATTATTATTATTATTGCTCCAAAGCTTGCAGGCCTGCTTTGAATAGGGGAAATGTCCTTTTGCAAGGGCTGGCATCCCTCTGCTTACAGGTGCAGCCTGAATACAAATCGTGCCGGCAAATATATTTTAAACGGATGCTTGAAATGGACACAGTCAGTGCCAATCAGCTGACTGACACCAACAGCACATTTTCAAAAGAGCTCGGCTGATTGGCGTTGCGAGAGAGCCCCTCTGAAGTTGCCACCTGATGTCATCATGACATCAGGTGACTAGCCTTGTACCACCAAGGGAAAGCCAAGGGAAGGATCCGGCCCACCGATACTGAGCTCCAACCATGTTTGCCATCTCCCAGCTGTGGACTGGTCTTCCCTTCCCCGCCCGCAGGCTAAATTTCTAGCGTAACTGACACATCCATGCACAACGGCAGTTTCTAGATGAGCAGAGAGCATCTCACCTGGCAAAGCAGGCAGTTCACCTTCTCGCACACGGGACACGGGAACTCGTTCACGTCATCCTCGTAGAAGCACCAGCCCCGGCAGTCCGTGGTTTTGCAGTGGTAGCTGGAGCGGCTGCGGTTTTCGGCAATGGAGACTCCCAGGTCCAAGAAACGCTGGTACTCGTCTTTGCTCAGGAGCTGGAGATCAAATGGAGAAAACAACATCAGAGGAGACCCCCAAAAGGGGAAGCAAATTGCCCCAGCTGCCTAATCATGCTGTTTTAAGTCAGGGAATCTGCCTCTGAAAGTATCGAGTGAGAATAATGTTACCCGCGGAACCTGGGATTTTGCAAGAGCTGCTGGGCTTAGATAGCAGGGTTAATAATAATAATAATAATAATAATAATAATAATAATAATAATAATTTATATCCCACCCTCCCCAGCCGAAACTGGGCTCAGGGCGGCTAACAACAATAAAATAATACAACATTCTAAAATCAAGAATGTTGCAAGCTCCAATTGGTGCATCAATCAATCTGATATGTAGCTCAGTTGGTTAGAGAAATGAGGTTACAGGGAGCCAGGCAGAAGGCCTTCTTGGTGGTGGCGCCCGCCCTGTGGAACACCCTCCCATCAGATGTCAAAGAAATAAACAACTCTCTGACTTTTAGAAGACATCTGAAGGCAGCCCTGTTTAGGGAAGTTTTTAATGTTTGATGTTTTATTGTGTTTTTAATATTCTGTTGGAAGCTGCCCAGAGTGTCTGGGGAAATCCAGCCAGATGGGCAGGGTATAAATTATTATTATTATTATTATTATTATTATTATTATTATTATTCCTGCATTGAAGGGTTGGACTAGATGACCCTCAGAGTCCCTTCCAACTTGACAGTTCTTTGATTCTATGATAATCAGCCAGAAATAATTTGTGAGAGCACCCATGTGGCACACTGATTAGGAGTGTTGAACCAAGGAATCCTAATTGCTGAAAACTGGGAAAATGAAATTGTGCCAACAAAAATGGAATGGCAAGACAAACTGTTAGAGTATATTGAACTGGCTAGATTAACAGAGGCAATTAGAGATCACACTAGACAAGAGTTTCAAAAAGCAGGGGGGAAATGCAGAGAATACTTCACAAATCAATGCCCTAAAATACATACCCGGACATGTCTCGATTAATGTCTGCAGGAGAATTTGTGGATATTTAAGTTATAATTAGAAAAATCTTAATAATTATTCAGCTTATAAGAAGTACATAAGGAGGCCAGATACAGAATAAAGGAAGTCTTTTATTTGGTTGTTTGTATTGTTGTATGTTATGCTTATTGTATTACTGTATTGGGGGAGTGGGGGGGGTTATGTTATGTTGTAAATAAAATTTTCAATTAAAAAGGAGCATTGAACCAAGGAGTTCAGTGCCCCTCCCTGTGAAGCTCATTGGGTGAACATCAGAGAGACCAGTCACTCTCTCACTCTCAACCTAGCCTACCTCACAAGGTTATTGCAAGGATAAAATTTGGGAGAGGGACGGAAAGAAACACATACACTATCCTGAGCTCCTTGCGGGAAATCTGGTGTGTGTGTGTGTGTGTGTGTGTGTGTGTGTGTGTAAGGTAAAGGGACCCCTGACCATTAGGTCCAGTCGTGACCGACTCTGGGGTTGCGGCGCTCATCTTGCTTTATTGGCCGAGGGAGCCGGCGTACAGCTTCCGGGTCATGTGGCCAGCATGACTAAGCCACTTCTGGCGAACCAGAGCAGCGCACGGAAACGCCGTTTACCTTCCCGCCAGAGCGATACCTATTTATCTACTTGCACCTTGACGTGCTTTCAAACTGCTAGGTTGGCAGGAGCAGGGACCGAGCAACAGGAGCTCACCCCCTCTGCGCGGGGATTCGAACCGTCGACCTTCTGATCAGCAAGTCCTAGGCTCTGTGGTTTAACCCACAGCGCCACCCGCGTCCTGCGTGTGTGTATAAAACAGACATTTTAACAGGCCTACCGCTTTGACCTCCCGTTCCAGCAACTGCCCCGGGCAGGAGTATTTCTCGTCAATGTAGGGGCAGCGCACTTCGGGCTCCTGGCTGTTGAGGATGGTTCCTCTCAAACAGTCCCTGGAGGGAGAAATTATTGGGGGGGGGACACATACGTCACACGGAAATGGGAGGTTCAGAAACTTCGGCTGGTGCAGAATTCAGCAGCCAGGTTGCTCACTGGGACAAAGCGGTTTGTCCATATTGCAACCCTCCTGGCCCACTGGTTGCCAATGAGTTTCCAGGCCTAATTCAAAGCGCGGGTTTTGAGCTACAAAGCCTTAAATGGCTCAGGACCACAATATCTCAAGGGCTGCCTCTCCCCATATGACCCTAAGATCATCATCAGAGGCTCTTATTCGTGTGCCTCCTCCACAAGAGGTCCCGAGGGTGGCAACATGGGAACAGGGCCTTCTCTGCAGTGGCTCCCCGTCTGTGGAATGCTCTCCCCAGGGAGGCTTGCCTGGCACCTTCACTATTTAGCTTTAGGTGCCAGGCAAAAACATTGACATTGTTATTATCAGCGCTCAACATAAAATCACAATAAAAAACACAAAATAAATAATAATAAATAAATAATAATTAATAATAATAATAAAGCAAGAATAATCCAATAACCCCACCCCCCCAAACACATTTTCAAAAGGGCATTGGATGCCAATCAGCCAAAAGCTTGGCTACAGAAGCATGTTTTTGCCTGGCACCTAAAGGTGTATAATGAAGGCACCAGCTGCACCTCCCGGTGCCCTTTTAAATGTTTTGTGGGAGTTACTGTTTCGTTGCTTCTGTTTTCACTATTTATTTGTGGCTTTATCCCGTGTTTTTATCTTATGAACCACCCAGAGATCGTTTGACGAAGAGTCCAGGTCCGAAAAACAGATCCTTAGGGGACTCTACTCTTCACTTCTCTCCACCTGGGGAAAATTCCCATTTATACTCCTCTTCTTAAGGGAGCCGTTCCATCCCAGCTTTGAAGGTGACCTGGAAACTGCAACTAATCCAGAATGCAGCAGCTAGACTAGTGACTGGGGGCAGCTGCCGAGACCACATAACACCAGTCTTGAAAGACCTACACTGGCTCCCAGTACGTTTCCGAGTGCAAATCAAAGGGTTGGTGCTGACCTTTCAAGCCCTAAACGGCCTCGGTCCAGGATACCTGAAGGAGCGTCTCCACCCCCATCGTTCTACCTGGACACTGAGGTCCAGCTCCGAGGGCCTTCTGGCGGTTCCCTCCCCGCAAGAAGCGAGGTTACAGGGAACCAGGCACAGGGCTTTCTCGGTGGTGGCGCCCGCCCGTCATATGTCAAGGAAATAAACAACTATCTGACGTTTAGAAGACATCTGAAGGCAGCCCTGTTTAGGAAAGTTTTTAATGTTTGATGTTTTTTCGTGTCTTTATTATTCTGTCGGAAGCCGCCCAATGTGGCTGGGGAAACCCAGCCTGATGGGCAGCGTATAGGTAATAAATTGTTATTATTATCATTACTGGATCATTTACTTACTTGCAGAAGGAATGTAAGCATTCCCGCAAGGTCACCCCCTCGCCAGGCTGCAGGGCCAAGAAGCAGATGGGGCACTCCAGGGCCTCGTCCGATGGCACCAAGCTCTGCCCATCCAGCTGTAGAAGCCGCTGGTAGTTTTTCTGTTTCTTCTGCTCCTTAGCCTACATAAAAAGAGAGAGACAGAGAAACATCAGAGAGATTGAAGCATTTGGCGAAATGTCTGGAATGACAATCCATAAACTGAATCAGAATCTGAATCATAGAATCATAGAATCATAGAGTTGGAAGTGACCACAAGGGCCATCGAGTCCAACCCCCTGCCAAGCAGGAAACACCATCAGAGCACTCCTGACATATGGTTGTCAAGCCTCTGCTTAAAGACCTCCAAAGAAGGAGACTCCACCACACTCCTTGGCAGCAAATTCCACTGTCAAACAGCTCTTACTGTCAGGAAGTTCTTCCTAATGTAGTTTGGATCCATTGCTCCGTGTCCGCTTCTCTGGAGCAGCAGAAAACAACCTTTCTCCCTCCTCTATGTGACATCCTTTTATATATTTGAACATGGCTATCATATCACCCTTAACCTCCTCTTCTCCAGGCTAAACATGCCCAGCTCCCTTAGCCGTTCCTCATAAGGCATCGTTTCCAGGCCTTTGACCATTTTGGTTGCCCTCCTCTGGACACGTTCCAGTTTGTCAGTGTCCTTCTTGAACTGTGGTGCCCCGAACTGGACACAGTACTCCAGGTGAGGTCTGACCAGAGCAGAATACAGTGGCACTATTACTTCCCTTGATCTAGATGCTATACTCCTATTGATATACAGTGGTGCCCCGCAAGACGAATGCCTCGCAAGACGGAAAACTCGCTAGACGAAAGAGTTTTCCGTTTTGGAGGTGCCTCGCAAAACGAATCTGCAATGGGCTTGCTTCGCAAGACGAAAATGTCTTGCGAGTTCCTGGGGGTTTTTTTTCCTTTTCCCCCTCTTTTTCTAAGTCGCTAAGCCGCTTATCTGCTTATCTGATAAGCTGATAAGCCGCTAAAAGCCGCTAAAAGCCGCTAAAAGCCGCTAAAAGCCGCTAAAAGCGCTAATCCGCTAATCCCGTCAATGGGCTTGCTTCGCAAGACGAAAAAACCGCTAGACGAAGAGACTCCCAGAACGGATTCTTTTCGTCTTGCGAGGCACCACTGTACTCCTGAGTGTGTCTGAATGTGCCAACTGAATTGCAAGATCGGCTAAGAGGTAAGACAGGCTTTAAGTTCTGCCCGCAATATATTAAATATATTGGAAGTGATGTAACAGAATCCTGGGGGGAACTTTATAAAGCTAATTTTCTGCATGTTATAAACTCGTACATATCCTTACGTCATCTGTCTATCATATTATCAACCAATAAATTGGTGTATGTTTATTCATGCAGAAAATAATATGTGCTGAGAAATCAGAAAGAGGAGCTGAGGGAAGTCTCTGGAGGGGAAGGTTTGATGGTTGGTGGGGGAAAACAATGAATATGATATGTTTTGAAATTTTGTTTTGTTGAATTTGCTAATAAAAAATATTTTAAAAAATAAAATAAAAAATAAAGCTAATTTTCTGCCATTAATAAGAAATATTAAGGCGGCTTCCTTTTGCTCCAAGAACCACAGCTGGCTTGTGGACAAGAGGTGGCCGTCTCCCATTTATAGGCCACTAGTGCATCAATTTCTAAAGGGTTTATGAAAGCTGGCGCAAAGTATTCGTAAGAATATAATAATAACAATACACAATAATAATAATAATAATTAATTTATACCCCGCCCATCGGGCTGGGCGTCGCCAGCCACTCTGGGCGGCTTCCATAGAAACCAAAAATACACTAAAATATCACATGTTAAAAACTTCCCTGAACAGGGCTGCCTTAAGATGTCTTCTGAATGTCAGGTAGTTGTTTATCGCTTTGACATCTGCTGGAAGGGCGTTCCACAGGGTGGGTGCCACTACCGAGAAGGCCCTCTGCCTGGTTCCCTGTAACTTGGCTTCTCGCAATGAGGGAACAGCCAGAAGGCCCTCGGCGCTGGACCTCAGTGTCCGGGCAGAACGATGGGGGTGGAGACGCTCCTTCAGGTATACTGGACCTCATATAATATGAGCACAAAACCAACATGTGGCTCATGGAAGGTTGCCTGGAAGAGAATGTGGCCCTTGAGGCTGGAGAGAGCAAGGTACCGTAGTTGTTAGAGAGTCAGGCCAGAGCCTGGGAGAGACCAGGGTTCGAATCCTCCACACAGTAGTAATAATAATAATTTTATTATTTATATGTCACGCATCTGACTGGGTTGTTCCCGTCACTCTGGGCGGCTCCCAACAAAATGTTAAAAACACAAGAAAACTTGGCTACATGAGGTTCACTGGGTGTGAGTTTGGGGCCGGTCCCTGCCTCTTGGCCTAACCTCTACCTCACAGGGTCGTTGTGGCAATTAAGCAAGAACCTTGAGCCACCATTGAAGAAAATGTTCCTTCTAACATTTGTTTAAAAACCTGAAGCATTTTTGTTAGGGATTGTAGGAAAAGACCTGCCAAGGAAGCTGAAGAACATCTTTATGTATGCGACAACAGCGGCGAGAGTCTTAATAGCACAAGGATGGAAGACTGAGGAAATCCCGACTAAAGAATTATGGCAAGAGAAACGGATGGACTGTGCAGAACTGGCAAAACTGACACATAAACTACGGGACAAGGATAACTATGACTTTAAAGAGGAATGGGAACCTTTTACAAAGTACCTAAACATGCAACAAAGCGAATAGGACACCTTGGCAGGCTTTGAATAAACACTCACAATTTTTTTTATTGATAATAATTAGTTAGATAAATTAAGGACTTATACAATTCTGTAATGGGACGCGGGTGGCACTGTGGGTTAAACCACAGAGCCTAGGACTTGCCGATCAGAAGGTCAGCGGTTCGAATCTCCATGACAGGGTGAGCTGCCGTTGCTTGGTCCCAGCCCCTGCCAATTTAGCAGTTCGAAAGCACGTCAAAAGTGCAAGTAGATAAATAGGTACCGCTCCGGCGGGAAGGTAAACGGCGTTTCCGTGCGCTGCTCTGGTTCGCCAGAAGCGGCTTAGTCATGCTGGCCACATGACCTGGAAGCTGTACGCCGGCTAAGCGAGATGAGCACCACAACCCCAGAGTCGGTCCCTTTACCTTTATAATTCTGTAACATGCAGAGAAGAGCATCTATAGAGAAACCAGAGATTGGAACTGAGAGAAGTCGGGGGGCGGGGTGGGGAGTGGTGTTTATGGGAGGGGGGAAATGAGGGGAAAATTAAGGATGATATGTTTTAAGATATCATTGATAATTGATGCTTTTGAATTCTGGTGCTGGAGGAGACTCTTGAGAGTCCCATGGACTGCAAGAAGATTAAACTGATCCATTCTTAAGGAAATCAGCCCTGAGTGCTCACTGGAAGGACAGATCCCGAAGCTGAGGCTCCAATACTTTGGCCACCTCATGAGAAGAGAAGACTCCCTGGAAAAGACCCTGATGCTGGGAAAGATGGAGGGCACAAGGAGAAGGGGACGACAGAGGACGAGATGGTGGGACAGTGTTCTCGAAGCTACCAGCAGGAATTTGACCAAACTGCGGGAGGCAGCGGAAGACAGGAGTGCCTGGCGTGCTCTAGTCCAGGGGGTCATGAAGAGTCGGACACGACTAAACAGCAACATATTTTAAAATAATTATTTAATTACTTAATAGAAAAATTATTTTAAATAAAGAACCTTGAGGCACTCAAGATATGAAGGTGGGAGACGAAAGCAATAGGTAAATAAGTAAGTTAAAAGGTTCAAAGCGCGCGCACACACACACACACACACACTGATCTACATGGTCACTCCTGGCTGCCTCGCCCTCCCAACAGCCAGTCACCTGTTCATACTGCTGCGTGGCTTCCTCTTCCTTCTGCAACCGCTGCAGCTCCTCCACGTCCGGCTGGTACCCTTCCGGCAGGATGTATCCCTTGGGGCGCTCAGCGCAGCACATCTCGCAGCCGGGCCTGGTGGGCTTGTTGACGAAGGTGCAAGTAGGGCATTCCCAGCCGACCTAGGTAGCAGCCCGCGCAGGAGAAAAAAGGAGGAGGATGGGAGCATCAAGGAGGGGAAATAGCATCTCTACCTGTGTCGCCCGCCCCCTCGCAATCCATTACCGGTGGGGGCACGGCGGGCAGAGGTGACGAGGTGCCCCTCTTCTCCTCTTGGAGGTTTGGGGCGCCCGAGGGCTCCGCTGGCGTCGAGGCTGCCGCTTCTGACGTCCCCCGTGGCACCAGCACACCCTCTCGAATGCCTAGCTCTAGACCAAAAGGAAAAGGAAATTATTTTATTTACTTTCTTTTTTCCAAAAAAAATTATTGGTATTCCAAATTTCTTACAAACATAAACAACAAAAAAGAAAAGACATTACTATATAAAAAACAAACAAACAAATATACAAGCATTTATCTTAACTATTATAATCATATTTTTATTACCATTGTTAAATGACTTCCTTGAATCCCTCTAGCTGTGTTTCCATATATCTCATTGTAGCAGTTTTCCAATACTAATTTCCAACCAATTTACCTTAGTCAATTACAGTGGTACCTCGCAGGACGAATGCCTCGCAAGACAAAAAACTCGCTAGATGAAAGGTTTTTTTGTTTTTTGAGCTGCTTCGCAAGACGATTTTCCCTATGGGCTTGCTTCGCAAGACGGAAACGTCTTGCAAGTTTGTTTCCTTTTTCTTAACACCGTTAATACAGTTGCAACTTGACTTCGAGGAGCAACTCATAGAACGCAGTGTGGTAGCCTTTTTTTGAGGTTTTTAAAGACTTTGGTGATTTTTGAAGCTTTTCCAAAACTTTCCCGACACCGTGCTTCGCAAGACGAAAAAAATCGCAAGACGACAAAACTCGCGGAACAAATTAATTTCGTCTTGCAAGGCACCACTGTAACATCTTTCTTTCTTATCCTATTCACTTGTATCCATGATATTATTAAATTTGAAACATTTAACTCCTAAGCCAATTTGGTACTCACAAATGATACTACTTATGTTATCTTATAATATTTTGCTAAATAATCCTTAAATTTATTCCGTTCTTCTTGGTATTCCTCCTCCTTCTGTTCGCGGATTCTACCGGTCAGGTCGGCCAGCTCCAGAAAATCCATCATCTTCATTTGCCATTCCTCCGCTGTTGGTATTTCTTGTAATTTCCAATATTTAGCTAACAAGATTCTTGCTGCATTTGTGGCGTACAAAAACAGTCTAACATCTTTCTTGGGCAATTCCAAACCTGTTATTCCAAGTAGAAAGGCTTCTGGTTTTTAAATAAAAGTATATTTCAACATCTTTTTCAACTCATTCTAAATTTCCCCCCCGAAGTCTTTCACCTTAGGACACGCCCACCACATATGGAAAAAGGTACCCTCCTTTTCTTTGCACTTCCAACATAAGTTATCACCCGTATGATAGATCTTTGCTAATTAAAATTAAGTAAAATTTAAAAAGGGGGAAAAAAGAAAATGATTTTCAAGGAGATCCTTCCTGGTGGGTCTGGGAGCAGAACGGTCTTCACCAGCCTAGCACACTTTGGATGTTTGGGGCTGCCTTCCTGGCAGGTGAGCTGGCTGGGCTGAGGGCAGGTAGTTCGGAGGGGGCAAGGTTGGCAGGTCTGAAAGAAACTAGAAGCAGCTGCCTTCTTGCCCTGGAAGAGGCATTCCTCCCCTTGGGAAGTCAGCTACGCAAAGAAGAAAGTCGCGCATGGGTCTTGCTCAGCTGTGCGGAGCAGCACGTCGCCAGAAAATCTGGACCAAAACCAGTCTGGATCAGCTTTGACTGATTGAGTGATTTACTTATATGCCGCTTCTGAGCTGCACCCAAAACCGGCTTACAGCAATACAGTGGTACCTCGGGTTATATACACTTCAGGTTACAGACTCTGCTAACCCAGAAATAGTACCTCAGGTTAAGAACTTTGCTTCAGGATGAGAACAGAAATCGTGCTCCGGCGGCGCAGCGGCAGCAGGAGGCCCCATTAGCTAAAGTGGTGCTTCAGGTTAAGAACAGTCTCAGGTTAAGAACGGACCTCTGGAACAAATTAAGTACTTAACTCAAGGTACCACTGTAATAGGGACATGGGTGGCGCTGTGGGTTAAACCACAGAGCCTAGGATTTGCCGATCAGATGGTTGGCGGTTCGAACCCCTGCAACAGGGTGAGCTCCCATTGCTTGGTCCCTGCTCCTGCCAACCTAGCAGTTCAAAAGCACGTCAAAGTGCAAGTAGATTAATAGGTACCGCTCCGGTGGGAAGGTAAACAGCGTTTCCGTGCGCTGCTCTGGTTCTCCAGAAGCAGCTTAGTCATGCTGGCCACATGACCCAGAAGCTGTACGCCAGCTCCCTCGGCCAATAATGCAAGATGAGCGCCGCAACTCCAGAGTCAGCCATGACTGGACCTAATGGTCAGGGGTCCCTTTACCTTTTATGCAAGAAATACATTTTTTGGACACTACTATAAAAATGCAGGATGGGCGTATAGACACCACCTTATACCGTAAACCAACTGACTCTTGAGAGTCCCATGGACTGCAAGAAGATCAAACCTCTCCATTCTGAAGGAAATCAGCCCTGAGTGCTCACTGGAAGGACAGATCCTGAAGCTGAGGCTCCAATACTTTGGCCACCTCATGAGAAGAGAAGACTCCCTGGAAAAGACCCTGATGCTGGGAAAGATGGAGGACACAAGGAGAAGGGGACGACAGAGGACGAGATGGTTGGACAGTGTCCTCAAAGCTATCAGCATGAGTTTGACCAAACTGTGGGAGGCAGTGGAAGACAGGAGTGCCTGGTGTGCTCTGGTCCATGGGGTCACGAAGAGTCGGACACGACTAAACGACAACAACAACTGACCGACAAACGTATCTACATGCTTCTAGCTACCATTCCAAACATATCAAACAATCCATTGTATATAGCCAGGCCGTACGTTACAGCCGCATCTGTTCCAACTCTACAGACAGAGACTCTCACCTAAGAGCTCTACAGTAAACCTTTCTAGAACTAAAATATCCACCTGCTGAAGTTAAACAACAGATCAACAGAGCCAGAGAGAACTTACTGCAAGAGAGACCCAAAAAAGATCACCTTCGTTGCCTGGGTCTGAAGCTTTTCCAACTCTACAATATCCTTTTTGAGTCGAGGCGACCAGAACCATTCATAGGATTCCAAATGCGGTTGCACCATTGATTTGCATAACGTAGGGCACAGATATTGCAACTTTTACTTTCAGATCCTTTTCCAATGACCCCCTTTGCAGTGCCACACATAAGAAGCTGGCTTTTGCTTCATGGGGTGTGTGTATGTGTGTGTGTCTGGGGGGGTGGGGTCAGAGAGACACTTTCTGCAAGGTGCACCTTGAGTACAGCTTTTTGTTTAAAATGAAAGGATTGGGTGCTGGTCCCATCGGAGCAGGACTCCAGGGCACAAGTCCAGGGACCCCCTTCAGGAGAAGGAGTAGTGGGGTGGGGCGGGGGGTGGCAGGCAAACACCTGCAATACATTGACAATATTTTTATTACCTGGACACATGGTCAACAGACCCTGGACACCTTCCACCAGACATTCAATGACTTTCACCCACCATCAACCTAACAATGAACCAATCTATGCAAGAAATACATTTTTTGGACACTACTATAAAAATACGCGGGACGCGGGTGGCGCTGTGGGTTAAACCACAGAGCCTAGGACTTGCCGATCAGAAGGTCAGTGGTTCGAATCCCCATGATGGGGTGAGCTCCTGTTGCTCGGTCCCAGCTCTTGCCAACCTAGCAGTTCAAAAGCACGTCAAAGTGCAAGTAGATAAATAGGTACCGCTCCGGTGGGAAGGTAAACAGCGTTTCCATGTGCTGCTCTGGTTCGCCAGAAGCGGCTTAGTCATGCTGGCTACATGACCCGGAAGCTGTACACCGGCTCCCTCAGCCAGTAAAGCGAGATGAGCGCCGCAACCCCAGAGTCAGCCACGACTGGACCTAATGGTCAGGGGTCCCTTTACCTTTACCTTACCACTGTAATTCAAAACATCACAATACAAAGCTTTACAAAATACCGAACGGGAAGGGCAATGATGGCATTCTCTTTGCCACCCTGCTGGCAGGACCAAGTCCTGGCACAGATCCCTTTGCTGTCAGAAAAGTCTTCCTACAGACTCTCTTGATATTTGACTCCACTGGTTTGGGTCATACTCTCTGGAGGAGCAGAAAACAAGCTGGCTCCATCATCCACGTGAACCTGTGCCATATCTGGCACCTTCTGGGGTACCACCTCCTCCTAGCAGGAACCGCAGCCCAGCATCGCCCGTCACGCTTGCAGGAGGGTGATGCTCTCTGCACTGATCACTCACCTTCCAGCTGCCTGCGCTCGTGGTCCCGCTGCAAGGCATCTTTGCTCAGCTTGGCTGCCCTGGCAGAGAGAAGGTACAGGTAAACTGCGTCGCCGTCCTTTTGGATGCCGTGGTAGTGAAGAGTCTCGTGGTCTCGCGGAAGCCTCTGTCCCATCACCCACTTCTGGATGCTGGGGGGAAAGCCATAGTGGAGGAACACCTGGGCCAGGTGAGAAGGAGAAGAGACAACTTCAGAGCCCAAAAGCCTCGCAAATCAAGGAAGTCACAAACAGTTTATGTGGAGCAGCTAGGTGGGCTAAACAAAATGGGAAAAGTATACTCAGCACGAGTATTGCTAGCCCAGAAAAGGAAGCAAGAAGAAATTCAGACGAAAGATGAATGGCAGATGAAATTAATGGACTACGCAGAATTAGATAAAATGACAGGAAGGATTCGAAACCTGCGAGACCAGAGATTCACAGAAGACTGGAAGAATATACGAACTATTTGAAGAGCAACTGTAATCAACAAATTACGCTAGTAGGACTACAAGACATTTTGTAAGGAGAAATACATGAAACATTGCAAAGTAGAGAAAGAAGAGAGATATTAGTTATGAGATTTAAATGTAATAGTGAAAGTAAGAAATGTATATTAAGTGATAGATTGGAAAATTTTCAGATGTGATCGATGGAAGTAAAAAAACACTGTATAAGATGTAAAAGTATGTTTAATTACTGTTGAAAATGATATGTTGAAAAACTAATAAAAAATTATTTTTTTAAAAAAGGAAAAAAGTATACCCGATGAGGACTTCTGTGCTACTCAAAAGCTCGCTTTGAATTACTTGAAAGTGATTTACAGATGGCACCATATTTTTCGCCCCATAAGGCGCACCTGACCATAAGGCGCACCTACTTTTTTGGGGGGGGGGATTAAAAATAAATAAATATGCAGCTCTTGGGGGCTTTTGCGGGCTTTTGCGGGAGGTGGGGGAGTGAGAGAGCCTCGCTCTGTCCCTGTCCCTCTTTCTGCTGCTCCCCGAGCTTGTGGGGCTGACAAGGGAAGCCCGGGTTCCCGCCCCCCAGCCGCAGGGACCACACATTCACTCCATAAGATGCACAGACATTTCCCCTTAGGTTTTAAGAGGAAAAAAGTGTGTTTTATGGAGCGTAAAATACGGTATTTAACTCCGAGTAGGCTTGCTAAGATGTACAAGACAGAATCAGATAAGTGCTGGAGATGGAAAGAGGCAGAGGGAACGGTCTTTCATAGGTGGTGGACTTGTAAAAGAGTACAGGCATACCTCTTGTTACGTTCAGTTCAGGTTACGTCTTTTCAGGTTGCGTCCCGCGGCGACCCGGAAGTACCGGAAAGGGTTACTTCCGGGTTTCGCCGCTCACGCATGCGCAGATGCTCAAAATGACATCAAGCGCATGCGCAGAAGCGGCGAATCGCAACCCACGCAGACGCGGGTTGTGTTCTGCTCATGTTGCGAACAGGGCTCCAGAACGGATCCCATTCACAACCAGAGGTACCACTGTATTGGGAAATGATCCATAATGAATTGAAAAAAATGTTTGAAAGTACTTTCCCCCAAAAAACAGAAAAGTCCTTTCTGTTGGGGATAATTCAGACTGAAATTCCAAGGTGTCAAAAAAGGTTATTTACGTATGCCACTACTGCGGCCCATTTTTTGTTAGCCCCAAAATGGAGAAAAAGTGAGGTCCCATCCAAAGAAGAATGGCAACTTAAGTTGATGGAATATGTGCAGCTTGCAGACTTAACATATAGAATAAGAGAACAAGAAGAACATACGTCCAGAGAAGATTGGAAAACGTTTATTGAATACAGTGGTACCTCTGGTTATGAACTTAATTCGTTCCAGAGGTTCATTTGTAACCCGAAACAGTTCTTAACATGAGGTGCGCTTTCTCTAATGGAGCATCTACTTCTGGGTTAGCTGAGCTCGTAACCCACAGCAAGCATAAGGAGGACGGTACGTAACCCGAGGTTCCACTCTATATGGGAAATAACTATAGCTGAAAACGCTGGCAACAATTACCGTATTTTTTGCTCCATAAGACTCACTTTTTCCCTCCTAAAAAGTAAGGGGAAATGTGTGTGCGTCTTATGGAGCGAATGCAGGCTGCGCAGCTATCACAGAAGCCGGAACAGCAAGGAGGATTGCTGCTTTCGCTGCGCAGCGATCCTTCTTGCTGTTCTGGCTTCTGAGATTCAGAATATTTTTTTTCTTGTTTTCCTCCTCCAAAAACTAGGTGCGTCTTGTGGTCTGGTGCGTCTTATAGAGCGAAAAATACGGTACATCAACTCAACAGTGTAAATAAGTTTTGATGGATGTAATAATGGAATACTGAATGGGATAGTTTCTGTAAAATATGCAGGGATTTATGGTATGTAAAATGAACCACGGAAAGAGAAGAAGGGAAGACATTGATATTGTAAGGATGTTTAAATGAGTATTTTAAATTGTAAAACAAAATTTAATAAAAATTATAAATAAATTTAAAAAGCTCGCTTTGTTGCTCAACAAAAACAGTGCTGTTGTTTTGCATGCTTCTGACTAGTCCTAAAGTTTAAGCAGCTCCTTCAGTTTAGCCAATATTTTATTATACAGGTGATATCCAATGTTTGTAATAAAAATAATTAATAAATAAATAAAGGGACCCCTGACCATTAGGTGCAGTCGAGGATGACTCTGGGGTTGTGGCGCTCATCTCGCTTTACTGGCCGAGGGAGCCGGCGTACAGCTTCCAGTTCATGTGGCCAGCATGACTAAGCCGCTTCTGGCGAACCAGAGCAGCGCACGGAAATGCCGTTTACCTTCCCGCTGGAAGTATTTATCTACTTGCACTTTGAGGTGCTTTCGAACTGCTAGGTTGGCAGGAGCAGGGACCGAGCAACGGGAGCTCACCCCGTCCCAGGGATTCGAACCACCGACCTTCCGTCTGGCAAGCCCTAGGCTCCGTGGTTTAACCCACAGTGCCACCCGCGTCCCATATGTGTCGTATGTGTCATAGTCGTCACATAAACATTGCAGGGTGTCCCATACGGGATTCAAACCTGCAGCCTTGGCCTTATCAGCCCATTACCATGTCTTTGAGGGATGCCAACGTCATGCAAGGCTGGACTTTCAGGTAAATCGGACGGTGCTCATCTGGGCATCTTCCACACCCACCCACAGCCTGGGAGAAGAAAGGAAACGATCCATTAGACCCTGTCACTGAATTGTGTCTGCCCACTCCTCCTTGCAGACACCTTTATACCCCAGAGACAACCAGGAGTCTGAGGGCTGTCGCCTTAGGGTTGTCCTGAGATAACCACCCAACTCCACATGAGCCGGTTGAAGATGCCTTCACCCACCTCCACCTTCGGCCTTTCATGGTCACGCTGCGTTTTGCTATGGCAGGTGTGTGGAAGCTCTGGCCCTCCAGCCCTCATTATCAGGCCCTCAATACCTTTCCAAGGCCACCCCCCCTTCCCAGATGAAAGGAGAATGAAGGGTTTGCGAGGGTGTGTAGAAACTAGAGGAGGGTATAAAGGTGCAAAATCTACATCTGTTGCTCTGCCCACTTTTGCTGCCATCCCTGCCCACCATGCGGCCCCTGGAAGACTGCCTGGAAATAATAATAAATAAATAATAATCAATTTTATTTATATCCCGCCCTCCCCAGCAGAAGCCAGGCTCAGAGCAGCTAACAGCAATAAAAGTAAAACAGCATTTTAAAATCAATTCAAAATCAAATGGCAACCATTTTACGAGGATCGCCAAAGGAGGGGGTCAGACTGTGCCTTGGCCAAAGGCCAGGCGGAACAGCTCTGTCTTGCAGGCCCTGCGGAAAGATGTCAGGTCCCGCAGGGCCCTGGTCTCTTGTGACAGAGCGTTCCACCAAGTCGGGGCCAGTACTGAAAAGGCCCTGGGCCCTAGTTGAGACCAATCTAACCACCTTGCGTCTTGGGACCTCCAAAATGTTGTCATTTGTAGACCTTAAGGTCCTCCACGGGGCAGACCAGGAGAGGTGGTCCTGTAGGTACGAGGGTCCAAGGCCGCATAGGGCTTTAAAGGTCAAAACCAGCAGCTTAAACCTGATCCTGTACTCCACCGGGAGCCAGTGAAGTTGGTAAAGCACTGGATGAATGTGATCCCTGTAAGGAGTCTCGCCACATCATTCCCTAGTCTCTTGTGACAGTGTCCCACCAGGCCCTCGAAAGTGAATCCGGCCCCCAAAAAGCATTCCCCTGCCCCTGCTCTATGAAACTGCCCTCTCTACCCATTGACGATTGCTCTCAGCTATTCGCCGGCCCTTCCGTGGCGCAGTCCGTCACCTGATGTCTTGCGTGGGGTAGGCGTCCTGCTGTAGCTGCACCACGACGGGGGCACGGCGCTGGGCCAGCCAGGCGGCACACTCCTGGGCTGCCCCCTCGTCCCCTCCGCTGATGGCCTCTGCCAGCTTCAGGGCTTGCTGTTCCGCTGAGAACGAGAAAGGGGTTGGGTAGGCTCAAGTCGTGGCGGCAAACTCGCCCGCGGAAGCCAGGGGGTGTTGCAAATTGCAATGGAGACTTAATGAATTGGTGAGTTCGTGGCTTCTCCGCTAGTCAGGTGTCAAGGACAATTTGCAAAATGACAGGAAGGGACTCTCCAGATGGGGCGCAGCTGCTGCTTTGGCAGGGGTTAGTGCGCATTTATGCGCGCGCATGCACAAAATGATTTATCCAATTTATAGGCTGCCCTTTATCCAAAGATCTCAGGGCCGCGTACAACACAGAGAACATACAGTGATACCTTGGTTCTCAAACGTAATCTGTTCCAGGAGCCCGTTCGACTTCCGAAACGTTCGAAAACCAAGGCGCGGCTTCCAATTGGCACAGGCACCCCGGAAACGATAGCTGACAGCCGCATCGGACATTTGGCTTCCGAAAAATATTCAGAAACCGGAACACTTACTTCTGGGTTTGCTGCATTTGGGAGCCGAAATGTTCAAGTACCAAAGCGTTCGAGAACCAAGGTCCCACTGTAATTTATTCAGCATAGTTATAAAAACAGAATACACAGCATAATAATAAAATAATCATAATATCACGTATATTTTGCAATATGTCACTTAACCTGTTTACAACCTATTGCTATAAATTTTTCTTGATTATTTTATCTTTTTGTAAGCTGCTTTGAGGAGGGGTTTTTCTACAACCGAGCGGCACGTAAGTTTTATGAAACAAACAAATTGTTGCAAAAACAGTGTGTTAGCGGTGGATGTAAACTGGACTTCATTCCTCTTTTGCATGTTGTTCTGCAATACTTCCATGTATCTCACACTGGCTGGCAGCAGCTCTCCAGGGTTTCAGGCAGCGCATTCGCAACTTTACTAGAGATGCTGGAGGTTGCCCTTTCCTAGTCTCCTGGTGGGCCCCTGCATTTGCAAAGATTTGCTTGGGATTCTTGCCGTGCGAGGGGGTTGAGCCAGATGACCTTTGGGTTCCCCTCCAGCTCTACAATTCTATGACTCTAAGCCTAGCTGGGTCAAGCCAGGCAGGGCTGCAGTTCCCATTCATTGCAGTAGGATTGCAGGCTGTGCCCTAACATGGAAAAAGGGCTGAGGGTGCCTCTTATTCTGGTGTAAAAGGAGACAATTGTGGGACGTAATCCACTGGGAGCAGTCAAGTATAGCATTCCTTGTTTTCCTAGAGTGGACATGCAGGGGAATGTTTGGTCCAGCCAGTCGAAAACTTCCTGTTTCCTCCTGGCTGGAGCATCCTTCCATTTGCATGTGACTAGTAGGTGGGCGTGACCTTACCTGTCCAGGTAACAAAAGGACAAGGCACGCAACACACTCTCTCTTTTTCACTTCCTTCGTCGTTTGACCAGCATCTTAGCTAGGAATGGTCCTGCTAGCTTCTCAGCTGGCAGAAGAACTGGGATTATTCCCCCATATGGGGTTAGATCAGCGGTTCTCAACCGGTGGGTCCCCAGATGTTGTTGGACTACAACTCCCATCACCCCTAGCTAGCAAGGCCAGAGCTCAGGGATGATGGGAGTTGTAGTCCAACAACATCTGGGGACCCACAGGTTGAGAACCGCTGGGGTAGATCCACGTGTAGATATTTGTAACTAAGTCTGCCTTCAGGGATCCAACCGTGAACTGATGTGAGTAAACTTCTTTTATTGACTTTGAGTAAGATTGTCATGTGTTTATTCTTTTAAAAGGGATTAAAGGAACTTACCAGGAATATGTAGTGAGAGGCTTACACAAGCCTGCAACCAGCTATCTGCTGTGCATGTAAAAGGGGAATGTAAACTCTGCTACATAAAGAAACTTGCTAGCGCACGTTAGGAAGGATGTTCTATATCCTCTCCTGCCACCCTGAACATTCCCACAGCAACAAGGTCCTTGAGAAAGCAGCCCCAAAGAGACATCTCCAGTTCTTTAGTATGCATGCTGCAGACCAAAGTCAGCCATCTCTCTCTCACACACACAATCCCACCTTTTCTCGTTGCCTCATCCATAAAGGCTGCTCTCACCAATCGCCTCCAGAGCCACAAAATTCATATGTGGTGGACCTGTAAAAGGGTAAAAGAGTATTGGGAAATAATTTATAATGAATTGAAAAAAAATATATTTAAAAGTACTTTTCAAAAAAAAAAGCCAAAGTCCTTTTTGATGGGGATAATTCAGATGGAAATTCCCAGGTGTCAAAAAAGGCCATTTATGTATGACACTATTCCGGTCTGTGTTTTGTTAGCCCCAAAATGGAAAATGAGAGAGGTCCCAACTAAAGAAGAATGGCAACTTAAACTGATGGAATATGCCCAGCTTGCGGATCTAATTCTATTAGAGAACAAGAAGAACATACGTTTAAAGAAGATTAGGAAATGTTTGCTGAATGTATGGGGGAAACTGTACACTTGAAAATGCTGGCATTAAGATAAATTCAACAGTGTAAACAAGATTTGATGGATGTATTAATGGAATACTGAATGGTTTAGTTTATGTAAAATATGCAGGGATTTATAATAATAATAATAATAATAATTTATTATTTATACCCCACCCATCTGGCTGGGCTTACCCAGCCACTATGGGCGGCTTCCAAAAAAATATTAAAATACTATAATACATCAAACATTAAAAGCTTCCCTAAACAGGGCTGCTAAAAGTCTGGTAGCTGTTGTTCTCTTTGACATCTAGTGGGAGGGTGTTCCACAGGGCGGGCGCCACCACCGAGAAGGCCCTCTGCCTGGTTCCCTGTAACTTGGCTTCTTGTAGTGAGGGAACCGCCAGAAGGCCCTCAGCACTGGACCTCAGTGTCCAGGCAGAATGATGGGGGTGGAGACGCTCCTCCAGGTATACTGGACTGAGTCCGTTTAGGGCTTTAAAGGTCAGCACCAACACTTTGAATTGTGCTCAGAAACGCCAGTGTAGGTCTTTCAAGACCGGTGTTATATGGTCTCGGTGGCCGCTCCCAGTCCCCAGTCTAGCTGCCACATTCTGGATTAGTTGCAGTTTCCGGGTCACCTTCAAAGTTAGCCCCAGGTAGAGCGCATTGCAGTAGTCCAAGCAGGAGATAACCAGAGCATGCACCACTCTGGCGAGACAGTCTGCGGGCAGGTAGGGTCTCAGCCTATGTACCAGGTGGAGCTGGTAAATAGCTGCCCTGGACACAGAATTAACCTGCGCCTCCATGGACAGCTGTGAGTCCAAAATGACTCCCAGGCTGCACACCTGGTCCTTCAGGGGCACAGTTACCCCATTCAGGACCAGGGAGTCCTCCACACATTTATGCCACACAAAATGAACCATGGAAAGAGAAGAAGGGAAGTCATTGATATTTTAAGGTTGTTGAATGAACGTTTTAAATCGTAAAATAGAAAACTTAATAAAAATTATACACACGGAGCCACAAAGTTCAGAGGCTGTTGAAAAAGAGAGAGGAAATAATGAAACGTTTGAGGCTTCGCCGGTATTGCCAGACAGAACCTGTGCATTTGTTCACAACAAGAAGGGATTACCTAGAATCATAGAATTGGAGGGGACCCTGAGGTCATCTAGTCCAACCCGCTGCCGTGCAAGAAGGGAATTGAACCTGCAACCTTGGCATTATAAGCACCTCGCTCTATCCAGCTGAGGATTTGGGCATGATGTCTGGCTGCATATATGTACAGGACCACCCAGGCGGAGACACCAGAGGACCACTGTGGTGGTAGTGTCTCAGACGAGGACTTGGGAGGCGCTGGGTTCGAATCCCTCTCAGCCATGAAGTTCACCAGGTGACCTTGGGCCAGTCACAGCTTCTCAGCCTAACCTACCTCACAGGGTTGTTGTGGGGGCGGGGAGAACCCTGAACACCACCTTTAGCTCTTTGGAGAAAAGGGTGCAATTTCAACCCAGTAAATAAACTGGGAGCTTGTGGGACTCTCTGCTTCCTTACTTCTTGGGAGCATCCTAGATCTTTTTTTTATAATATTTTTTATTAATTTTAACATATAAATTATAAAATGTACCACAAAACTTATCACTTATACAATCTTTTTAGACTTCCATCAGCACCTCTGATGATCCACCGTTTTCACCACTTCTTATGCATTTCTTAACTTTATATTGCCTTTACATCTCTTAACAAATCATCCTGCCCCTTGTCCATTTTTACAATACTTCTAATAATATTCCTCATAAAACTTCTTGCAACCCTACAACCGTCGTCTGTTCTTCACAATTACTTTTCAAATAGCCCGTAAATTTACTCCAGTCTTCCGTGAATTTCTGGTCTTGCCGGTTTCGAATCCTTCCTGTTAGTTTATCTAATTCTGCATAGTCCATTAACTTCATCCTCCATTCTTCATTCGACGGTAACTCTTCTTGCTTCCATTTTTGGGCCAATAATATTCTTGCTGCTGTTATTGCATATAAAAAGAGCTTACATTCCTTTCTATTTATACCACTCCCCACAATGCCCAATAGAAATGCTTCTGGTTTCTTTATAAATGTATATTTCAACATTTTTTTCAACTCATTATATATCATCTCCCAGAAGCATTTCACCTTTTTACATTCCCAGGGAGCATCCTAGATCTTCAGGAACAGATGCCTGAGGCTGTGCCCTTTGCCATGAGCCTCTCTATGTGCGCAGAAGTGCACACTCGTGGATGACTTGGACATTTGGAAACCCCTCTGTGGGTTGCCAACTTATTCACTGGACCCTGATTGGGCAAGAGATATAGGACATAATGTTTGAGGATTGGGAAAGATTGTGGAAGAAAGGGGTCAAGTTTACTGCATGTACAATGTTAAAGGAAAATATAATGAAAATGATGTATAGATGATACTTGACTCCTGTTAAACTAGCAAAGATCTATCATAACTGTGATAACCTATGTTGGAAATGTAAAGAAAAAGAAGGTACCTTTTATCACATGTGATGGACCTGCCCCAAGGTGAAAGATTTCTGGGGAAAGATTTATAATGAATTGAAAAAAAATGTTGAAATAGACATTTATAAAGAAACCAGAGGCCTTTCTTCTTGGAATAACAGGTATGGAATTGCCCAAGAAAGATGTTAAATTATTTTTGTATGCCACAACCGCTGAGCGAATCTTACTAGCTAAGAAGTGGAAATTGCAAGAAGTACCAACTGTGGAAGAATGGCAGATGAAGATGATGGATTTCATGGAGCTAGCCGACCTGACCGGAAGAGTCCGTGACCAGAAGGAGGAGGAGTATCAGGAAGAATGGACGAAATTCAATGAATATTTAGTTAAATGTGTTAAGTTAAATTAATTGGAAAAAGCTTGCAATTGCCAGATAGGCTTAGGATTTAAATGTGTAATATGGTGAATTAATATGTTTAATGCTGAATGAATATGAAAAAAATAGGTTAAGCGATCAAGTTAATTATATAAGAATTTGGATCTGGAAAACCGTTAAAATGACATATACTGAAATTCAACTAGGAGGATACGAGGAAGTCACTTAACAATGTTAATAAGATTAGTTTTAATAAGATTATGATTTATGTATCTATGTATGTTTGTTTGTTTATAAATTTGTGAAAATCACGGCCTAGGACCCTCGTACTTATGGGACCGCCTCTCCCGGTCTGCCCCACAGAGAGCCTCAAGGTCCATAAATAGCAACACCCTAGTGGTCCCGGGCCCTAAGGAAGTCAGATTAGCCTCAACCAGAGCCAGGGCCTTTTCAGCACTGGCTCCGGCCTGGTGGAACGCTCTGTCTCATGAGACCAGGGCCCTGCAGGATCTGATTTCTTTCCGCAGGGCCTGTAAGACAGAGTTGTTCCGCCTGGCCTTTGGCTTGGAGCCAATTTGATTCCCTCCCCTCTTTCTTTTGTCTTTTCCTTTCTCCTCCTGTGATGAGGCTGCATTTTAATATTTTAATGTTTCAATATTTTAATGTTGTATTTTAATCTTGTTTTTAAGTTGTATTCATTCAACTTGTTTTTATTATTGCTTGTTAGCCGTCCTGAGCCCGGCCTTGGCTGGGGAGAGCGGGGTATAAATAATAATAATAATTATTATTATTATTATTTATATAATAATAATATTATAATAATAATAAAAATTATAATAAAAATTATAATAATAATTAATTATAATATTATTATACTTGGGGAGGGGACTTATTCACTGGGCCCTGCTCCTGCGCTTTCTTAGTAGCAACTGGATATGTAACCACCAGCAGGTGAATGCGATTGTGTTCATAACAGGTGAAGCTTAGCCTGCTAATCTTTCCAATTAAGCTGCTGCTGCTGTTATAAGAGCAGATGAACATGCCAGCTGCTCTTTTCCTGGTCCCTTGGCAACTCCAAGCCATAAGTCATATGATCCACAAATCCTCAAGAAGCAGAGGAGAAAAAGAGTTGCAGAAACTATTCCTTGGTTATGAAAGAGTCCCAAAACAACACATACACACACACAAAATTTACCCCAAGTAACAGGACACACTGAACATCTACTGATAAACTGCAGCCTGAGTGCTACACAGGTCGCCACTGCTCTGGGAAGAGTTTTGTGTAACCCTCATGCTGACACACCACTCCTTGGCCAAGAGAACCCAAACAGATACAAGAAAATGTCACTTGGTAAGTTTTGTATCACTTTTCTTTCTTTCTTTCTTTCTTCAAAAAAAGGAAGCACTTTCGCTCTTCCTGTTTTGCTCATTTTCACAGATAAAAAAATCACGAGCAGATTCAACCAAAATTTGTATACCTGACAGTTTTACAGCCCACTGCCACCCATTCTGCTTTGCCTTAAATTACTTGTTTGGGCTCTTTTGTAGATTTGTTTTTTTAATATACATATGCTTGGGAATTCAAATGTTTATCTTCACATACACACACCCAAATTACCTAACACCCTTCGCCAGCCAACCCAGAAGCTTTTATAAACTTTGAACTTTGGCAGAAAGAAATATACACCATGAAGTTCCTGGTATTTATTGATTGAGCAATAAGAGGCACTCTGAAGTCTGACTGCTCTCACACATGCAATCACTT